AACCTTACCACTGGCTTTCTTGGGACTCATGGCAAGATATATCATAACAAATTTTATGTTCAAATTGCCAAAAATCCCAAAACAAATGTAATGCTTTACAAAGAATTCAGGCGCGATACTTACTAGGCAGGAGACACTGGTAAACTGAGGCGCGATCACCATGCCACCACGCGCTAGGTCAGCCCATACGTATATCAACAAACTCCTTTCCCGAGGCAAAGTTTGTAACCCGATTCAAATTTTTCGAAGAAATTAGGCTCGTAACCCGAAAAGTTCATAAATATTCATTCGTAAGCCGAGGTGTCACTATATATAACTAAAAAATTAAACTCGGGATTACTTTCAACCCCCACCCCTTTTGCTCTACTCCATCGCCACCTACCTTCACCCCCCTCTATGATGTACTCTTCCATAGACACCTACCTTTGCCCCCCTCCTCCCCTCTACTCCTCCATCATCACCTACCTTCACACCCCCTCCCTTCTACTCGTCCATCATCACCTTCCTTTCACCCTCCTCTATGATGTACTCTTCCATAGACACCTACGTTCACTGCATATAATGCTCCCCTCTACTCCTCCATCGTCACCTACTTTCACCCCCCCCCCTCCACTCTACTCCTCCAGGGTCGCAGACAATTTCACGAGCGTGAGAACTACGAGTTCTCTAACTACTCTCACACTCCTACTCTCTCACCAGTGAGGGGGAGGGAAGGAGGGAGGAAATGAAGGAAGAAAGGTGGGGGGAGAGAGAATAGGCAGGGGGGGAGGAGGGCCTAGATACATTTCTTCCATATAGATAGGTAGACTGAGGGAGAGCTGCTTGCCAAGAGCCCTATCAGACAGGCTTCCTATTCCTCAACCCTCCCTAATATGCCACATCCTGGTCAGGACAACTTGCTCGATTGTTATTCTTGGTGTGACTCGAGAACTGACCTCGAGGCGGGGCATGGGCATGGATTATCTCCCTGGGGCACGCACCTCCCTGCCCCAGCTCTCTCTCTCTCTCACATAATCTATCAAGGGTCTAACATGAGGTCATTGTGCCTACCAGAAGTGTATATGTCCAAGGCTGGCCACCTGTCTGGACCATTCAAATGTATAAACACGTAATTAGTCTATTAAAATTATATATAATGCTACAATTATAAATTAATTTGTTCATGGTCATTCGTTTATCAGTATTTTAATATGAGGTATATATATGCATGTATGTATACGTTGACGTACACATATATGATTATGTGTATGGAATGATTATGATTATGTGTAATCATATATAATTATATCTAATGGAATGCATTAGTAAGTGATGTGGTGGAGGCTGACTCCATACACAGGTTCAAGTGTAGATATGATAGAGCCCAATAGGCTCAGAAACCTGTACACCTGTTGATTGACGGTTGAGAGGTGGAACTAAAGAGCCAGAGCTCAACCCCAGCAAGCACAATTAGGCGAGTATATGAACGAATGCACATGTACACTTTCAAATGAATTAAGATACCTTGAGATACACAATGACTTAGTTTAAATAGTTTAAACACATTATGGTACTGATTTTGACATGCTGATGTCTGGAAGGGAGAGGGGGTGTGGGGGGTTATTGTCTGAGGTGGAGGACTAGAGGAGGGGGTCAGTGGAAGGATGGTGGCTGGAGGGATGCCATTGTTCTAATGGTTATGAAAACAATTATTGATGGCAGGAATTCAGTGGGTGTGTACTTCACCCGCACCATCACCATACTGTGCCCTGCTACAACCCCCCCCCCCCCCCACTCCACCCATGCTGTGCGGGGCGTATTACACATTATGGGATAACCGACTGTCTGTCAATTCCTGTCTGCTCGTTATGCTGCCCTTCCTTTTGAAAATTGTCTGCTTTATCGACTTCCTTCAAGACCACACGTTAGCCTCTTATCACGCCCTCTTACCACTCTCAGGGAGCCGGCTCTTCTATACAATAGTTACCACTCAGTCCCCAAGGTAAAAGAGTGTCCGGGCATATGACTTGTTACGTGTACTTATTTGCGATTCGTTTGGGCTGTCACGTGTGGTGATTAGTGTTGGGTAAGGCTAGGCCAGGTCAGGTCAGACTAGGCCAGGTCAGACTAGGCTAGGTAAGGCTAGGCCAGGTCAGGTCAGGTCTGGTCAGGTCTGGCTAGGCCAGGCCAGGCCAGGCCAGGCCAGGCCAGGTCAGGTCTGGTCAGGTCTGGCTAGGCCAGGTCAGGCCAGGCCAGGCTAGGCAGGGTGAGAGCAGTAAAGCGGCAGGTACTTACGTTTCCGAGAAAGTAGCGGCGGTAGTATATTGTTGATTTAGATTCGACGACATCCTGAAGCTAGTAGGTGGCGGCCTCATCGCTCTCGAACTTCTTGTTGTTGTAGGGGATACGAGGCACACCCAATATCCCCTTTACATTGATCACATCGCACACTAATATTTTGACTATTTCCGACACCAGATTTCTCTGTTTCGTATATGTATAATTGTTCAATATTAAAACCACAATAGAATGCTCTAAGTACTTTCGTATATTAATACATCTTCAGAAGGAATGGTTCGCTCTGAAGATGTATTAATATAAGAAAGTATTAAAGGAAATTCCTGTTTCAATTCTTCCTCCGTGGTCTGACACTCTTATTATATATTGTATATACTGAATTATATATACTATGCTTATATAATATATACTGAAATATTGTTACATTTAACGTATGAAACAAAGTATATATCTGTATTTTTAATAAAATATAAAACATTAATATTTATCAACGTATCTCTGTGAATTACATAATTTATCAGTATTGTACAGCCTGTGATCTCCACCTGGCTGGCCACTGATACCTAAGTAGCTTTCATGTGTCCGGACACCGGCGATAGGATTGTATTATTTAACTTTAAAGAGAGAGATATTTCTTGAAATGTTGTCACATTAACGTCTACATCTTCCTTCCTTCTGACATATAGATTTTAAGGTTAATTAGCATATATGGAAATAAATTACACAATTTATAGGCTGGTGTGAAGGGCTTCACACTCTTAGAGCAAGCCATCAATAAACTGTACAGTATCAAATGCATACTGTATATCTTCGCTTTCACTTCAGTTATATTTATGACAAGTATTTAAAGTGTAGCTTATATTTCTGCCTTTCTGTTGACATAGAAAACTTTCGTTTATTACATTATCTAGATAAAATTAGCATTGATCTTCAAAAGGTTGTAGTTGTAACTTCCATTATAAACAACATTATTATTGCAAACAGTAGGAGTTTCAAAGTCTCATTTGTATGGATACCTTCTCATATAGGTGTTGTCCAGCATGATGACACAAACAAGGCAGCTAAAACTGAATGTGATAAGCCTGAAGTTGAGTGGGATATGGGCATTCCAATCTCTTCTGTCAAAGCCGCAATATTTTAGGAAATTAGGGAAGACAGAAGAGCAGTCACTGACACACAAAAGCCAGAAAGCAAGACTATAAAGAGCTATGACATGTTTATGTGCCTCTGTAACCTTTTCCACTACCGCCCACAAGATGATATATGGGGTGCATAATTAATGAACTAAACTAAGTAAACATGTTTAGAATCGAGAATTATATGAACGGACAGCATAAAACTTCCACTAGTGTCACAATGACAGTGTGACATTGTAATTGCCAGAATTAGGCTAGGATATCGATATGTATCGCAGGTGGCTGCAGGTAATGAATAGCCCCCAATGGTGAATATTCCAATTGTAAACTATGTGAACAAGAGCTGGGACATACTCACCAACACTATATCTGTGATTGCCCTGTTATAAGTGACTTCAGACCAAATGGTATAAGGTACTTTGAACTCTGTAATTACTTCATACACTTAGGAATATTGGAAGATATTCTTTAATTATGTCTATGATAAAGTGTTTCAAATGAGCCTTATATTCCTATCTTTCTTGAGGCATATAAAAAATTTACGATTATTTACAAATTTACGTGAAATAAGCATTGTTCTGAGAGAGAGTTGCTCCGTCGATCGATCTGTCCGGAGTCGGAGCTCGGCTATTATAAAAGTACACGTATCTTCGCTTTAAATTTAAATATGCCCATGGTAAGGTATTTAGAACGAAGCTTATATATCTGTCTTTCTTGTGACATATAAAACTCTTACGTTTATTAAGGAATCTGCGTGAAATAGGCATGGTTCTGAGATGAATGCTGCGGTTTTCGAGTTTGACGAGCGATGAAAACTGCCACTTTTATACAACTACAAATATCTTCGGTTTTACTTAAAATATTTGTCTGGTAGAGGTTTTACATATAGATCGCGTTTCTGTCTTTCTTCTGACTAATAAATAATTTTGGTTTAATCAGTTATCAAGATGTTTTCAACAATATTCTTTCAGCGTTCGTCTTTTCCAACTTGGGCGACCCTTTTGGAAGCGCGATACTTGGGTTAACCCATCCTATAGTTGGGTCTGTTTCCAACTGGGGTTCGAATATATATAAGCCTTAAGCCAGAGTGTATATAAGCCTGAAGCCTTAAAAGCCAGACCTCACAGCCACCAACAATGGACCCGTGAGTGAGTTCCTAGGTTGCTGCCAACACTGTTGATAATGTAAATAGTTTAACATGAGAGAGAGAGAGAGAGAGAGAGAGAGAGAGAGAGAGAGAGAGAGAGAGAGAGAGAGAGAGAGAGAGAGAGAGACAGACAGACAGACAGAGAGACAGACAGACAGAGACACAGAGACAGAGAAGGTGGGGGGGGGACGAGCTAGGTTTCAGGGTAAACCACAAAAGTAACATCGGCCTCTCCAGTAGTACATCGCATTTTGATTTATGTACTAAATCCAGAAAAATGTCCCTAATGCCCAAAAAAGCCCCATTAAGGCCAAAAACTCGTGTACTAAGATCGTATAGCGGATCGCAAAATTGATGTGATGTCCCGTTTTCTAATTTTTTTTAGGTCTGAAAGGCGCCTAAAAAGGAGTGAAATCGGTAGTTAGTCTTTCAATCCATAGATGGCGCGGCGGAAGGCGTGACGCTCGCGCCGCCTGACTCTCTCGTCTGGCTATGCGATCCCCGCACCAAAATAAACAACTGTGAAGCTACAGCTTGGGTTGGCTTGACTGTCCTCTGCCGTTTGACCACTCCGCCGACGTTGTCACTCCAGGTAACTTACGGCCAGGGATGAAGTCAAAGATGGCGAGCGAGGTTGCAGGCGGAGCTGTAGCCAAGTGGGCTGCGTCTGGGCTGTAATATCGCTCATGTCTCCTCGTTCCTGCACCAGTTGCTCTGTCTGTCCCAGCGGGGAATGGTCAACACAGGTGTTAAAATGAAGCCCAATTTCCAATTGATAGAACTATATGGTTTTCTCTTTTTCTTTCTCTCGTTTTCTTTTTTTCTCTTTTTCTCTTTCTCTTTTTCTCTTTCTTTTTCTCTTTCTCTTTTTTTCCTCTTTTCTCTTGCATTTCTCTTTTTCTCTTTTTCTTTTTCTCTTTCTCTTTTTTTCTTCTTTTCTCTTGCGTTTCTCTTTTTCTCTATTTCTCTTTCTCTTTCACTCTTCTTCTCTTCTCTCTCTCTCTCCCCTTCCCTCTCTCTCTCTCTTTCTCTTTCTCTTTCATATTCATAAGAAAAATGTTCCTGCTGTTTTTCAAATAAATGCATGTAAATTTGAAAAATCATATTTAAATTCTAACTGCCCTCCCCATTTTTTTTGTTTTTTTTTTGCTTAATAGGTCTCCCTCGTGTTACTGTGTTATATCTGAAGAGTTCTTGAAAGTTTGGAGGTATATATTTTCCCTACACTATAGGTGTTAGTTTTATTTCTTGCAGATGTAAACAAAATACAGTACTGTATCTGAATTCTATGTCGCTTATAAAATTGAATGTGTTCATGAGTATATTTCATATAGTGTTGTATTTATATATATATCTGTACTGTATATAACTATGTATTATATGAACTGTGCCTAATTATTTTATTTAATATTTTCAGGCCTTGTATAGTGAATAAAAGATGTGATGTCATTTGTCTCCTGAGTGCACACCTTTTCACTCATCTGTTTATGTGGACATAAATAGAAAGATCTGGTTATCATATAGATACAGTTATGGCAAACTCGCCGGTCAATGGCTCGGTAATTGAAGCTGTTCCTGGAAATGCACCGGGCTCCAGCAATGGTTGTGTACCAAAAAACCTAAATCGTGTTAAGCAAGAGCCTGAACACTTGGGCGAGGAAAATGGTATTCATGTGGAAGATGTGTTTGTAAATGTTAAACAAGAAGTAGAAACAGATATGACAAATGTTTGTGATAATATTGCAATAGAACAAAATGAACAGCTCGAAAGGGAAACAAATCGAGAAGACGGACCTCCACTGAAGAGAAGAACAGTGGTCAAAGGCGAATCTCTCACTTTATACACTATTAGAAGGAGAAAGAGAACTGAAAATGGGGACGAGGCTCCAGAACTCGGAAGGAAGCTTAAACAGGGATCGAGATCGGCTGTTGCTAGCTCAGGTAACTTCTAAAGCCATATATATTTTGTCGGTTATCAGCCCTTGTGCAGTGAGTTCATGTTGGTGGCATTTTCACTTGCTGAACTTTCTGTAATTTGTATTTATTAGAATATAATTAATGCCTTTATCAAGGATATGATTATTGGATGACATAAGTTTGAAACAAAATTTCTTATTATAAGTTTATGATGGATTTGAGTAGTGAAACATAAATCCTTAGTATGGAATTTAGCCATTTTTAATTCTGAAACTCGTTTCAGTGCTATCCATTTTGCCAACAATCTGCACAAGCATTGAAAATGACTACAATACAACATTTTTGTAGCTTATTTTTAATTTTAATTACACTTTGTGTATAGATTTTTCTTTATCTAGGGATGTTACATATAGGCTTAAGGTCTGAATTTAATCAGTATTTTAATATAGGCTAGCCTGAATAAATCCACAAGGGCCATGATGAGGGTTCGAACTTACATCCAGGATGATCCCAGATGCACCTTCATCGACTGAGTCGAGTTCGAACACTCATCATGGCCCTTGTGGATTTATTCATTTAATATACTGTAGTACACTATTGTGATTTGTGTGTGTGTAGACTAGCCTATTTGTGGCATGGTATTATTAGTTAAAAGCTTTGTTTAGTATGGACAAAAAGTGTTTGGGGCTCTATTACATGGTGGAGAAAATAGGATTGAAGAGTGAGAAATATTTTATTTTCATAGATAATATATTTTTGATTGCCCATTCAAGTTAAAATCGTTGTATTTTACAAAGATTAGGCTCGTCTATATAAAATGTAGCAGTTTATATGGCTTTTGCTTTTTATGTTACAAGTATGAATGTAAATAAATACATGTGCATACATGCATGTATACAGAAACACACACACACACACACACATGGTGTATTACTCTGAGACTTGTTTTTCCCAAATCAAAACAAAGTTTCTATCAGGTGCAGTAGTTTGCTAATGTACTTAGATAGTCTTTGTTAAGCTCTTCTCACTTTGTAAATCAGCTCTTCTCACTTTGTAAATCAGCTCTTCTCACTTTGTAAATCATGTTTTAAATGGTATTGAAGGGCATAGCTGTGTTAAAATTTGGACCCTTGCATTCTCAGCCTAAATTCTCGGTCTCCCTCGTATTCCCTGACTTGATCGGCTCCGCAGGCAATTTTTCTTCTCTTGACAAATTTAAGCATGTATTATGGCAAAATATCAAAGACTTGTTCAATATTTATACACTCTCTGATCTTTATATTGCTGTATTAAGTGCAAGTTGATATATTTGTTACTTAAAGTATTTCTGAACACTCAGTGAAGGCATTTAAGCACTTTAGAAATGAATCACTGTACCATATACTTATATTGAAAAAGCAATGAAAATTATCTTGATTACATATGAAAACTTATGTACTTTATATATATATATATATATATATATATATATATATATATATATATATATATATATATATTGAAAATGTTTGTTTTTACATGATTGATATAAAGAAAAAAACAGTAAATGAATAAAGAACCAAAGTTTTTATTGTTTTAGGTTTGTATCATATATTTTGCTTGACTTTGTGTCATTTTATATATTAGCACTGGAATCCTTACTGCAGTTTCTTTGTCCATTGCGGAGGTACTGATATGTGTATCCTTGAGAACTTTGGCGTTTTATTACGTCAAGTTGAGAGCCAGACGACCACTCGGTTCCCAACAAACAAGCAGACGGCTCACAGCGTTTTTTTCTTTTCAAACTGCACGTATCCACTACTCTTTTTAAGGTAGGTGTTCATAAATATTTACAATATTCTTATGTGTGTGCAAGTATATAATGTAAGTTAAAGCATTCTGATAAACTTGCCTCACTGATAACTTAATACTTATGCAGGCAATGAGTCACAATAACGTGGCTAAAGTAAGTTGACCAGACCACACACTAGAAGGTGAAGGGACGACGACGTTTCGGTCCGTCCTGGACCATTCTCAAGTCGATCGACTTGAGAATGGTCCAGGACAGACTGAAACGTCGTTGTCCCTTCACCTTCTAGTGTGTGGTCTGGTCAACTTAATACTTATCACTTGTCAGTGACGAAAAGGCTTTTATTATCTTTCACTTACTTATTCATATAACGTTGTATGATTGTATGATTTGATAAACAGACAACGGTAAAGTCTTGGGGAAAATATATTGGACACTACCACAGATATAAAATACTTACGCAGTCTATGCATTATTTATGCAATATGCATTACTGTCATTTGATAACTAGCTGTGGCAAATTGTGAAAAATAATAAGCAAATGTCTTCGTTTAATATTAAGGATGACATTTGTTTCATTTGATTATACAAAAATTATTGAACAAAGAAGCTGGTTTTATTTTACCATAAAAGCAGTGCTCTATTGGAAGTAAAAGAGGGATTTCTATTTCTCTCATTAGTGCATGACAAGTAAAGTAAGGTAATCTTTCTTTCAGTACTGCAAGTAGAGAATGGAGGTGCACTCACATTAGGAGGTGCAATGTAAAGGGGTGATCCTTCTCTTGATAGGGTGTGGGAAGCAGAGGTGGTGTTCTTGCTTTCATTAATGTGTGGATTATCTCTTCTCTATCCTATTCTCATTTGTGTGTGGGGAAATAAATGATTTGCTCTTTCATTTGTGTGTGGAAATAAAGTGTGTGTGCACTTTCGTTAGTTGAGGGAGGTTTTGAAGGTGCTCTTTCAGTAGTGCTTGAAAAGTAAAGAATGGGTCTTTCACACGTTAATGTTTATATCTGCTGGCTGTTCTCAAACTGAAGTGCCACGATGTTTTCCTTCCTGCCTTCCTCCCCGTTTCTCAGTATCTTTGCATTAATTCTGTTCTTTTATGCATTCACTGCTACTTTTCCCACTTGTGTGTGTGTTAGCTGGGATATTCTTTGGTCTTACTGCTAGCAAGTGATAGCTATTTAACATGTAGCAACCAAATTAGAATGTGAAATTCTTGAACTACTTTTTCATGTACTCTCTCAAAACTATGAGCACCTAATGGGTGTTGAAAACCTGGTGGAGGTTCATTCTGAAGTCATCTCAATATAGGTGAGATATATAATAAGATAACTTATCAATGGATAACAGCAGATATAAACATTAATTAATTCTTGAGGGATAAATATATTTACTTAAATTTACCTGATGGCCACTAACACTAGTGGCCTCACTGAGGACAAAAAGTCGGTGGCTTGTCGAAGGTCCTCCCATTTGTCTTGATGATCTGTTCCAGTTGGATGTTAAAATTTAACAGTGTTTATATTAGTATCCACTCGATTTAATGACCTATATGGGGCTGTACCCAGATCGTTAAATTTGGGGCTTGGCTAAATCCGGAGGTTTTATAATGTCGGTGACTGTCGAGTCATATTTCAGAGAGCACCAGGATGGATGGTGGGTGGGCTGTCTGGTTAACTGGCTGGTAGGTGGGTGGGCAGGCAAGTGGGCTGGCTCTTTATTTTCTTCTCCGAGGCTATGGGTCCCTACACTTGCACCAGAGGTGGTACTCCTTTTAGCTTTAAAAAAAAAATATATGTTATCATAATAATTCATTGTGTTGGGGGACAGGAAGCCAGAGTGTGTTCATACACATTTGGCTTTTATCGAGGTCTCCCTCCCCCAGTGTGGCAGTCGCTTATAATGAGGTATATAATGACAGCCAGTCTTGAGCCAGGTGAGAGTTGCTTGTTTTGGCATTAGATAATGTATGCTGTGTATCTCGATTGATTAATTTTTCTTGAATTTAAAGTCTGGGGCCTAGTATTGGGCTATACGTTTGTATTACAGTAATAGCATGATGAAGTGCGCTAAGTATGTGAAGCGTCGGTGAAAGGAACCAATCAATTATTGTAAGACACTTGAAATGGGACAGTTTGATAAGTATTGGCTTGCTAGGTTGGTGACGAGGCACAACTGAGGATGTAGATTTACCAGTGTGAATGTAAATAGAGAACCCACAGACGCTGCAAAAAGTTTATCCTTTACCTTTTGGTTCTCACTTTAGAAATGGCAGCACCTCCAAAGTGCCCATCAAGATCATCTCCTGTCAGCCAGTTTGAGAAGGAATGTTTGCTGGGAATCGTCAGGGACTTTATGCCAATAATAGCCGATAAGTCGACGAGTTTCGTTGCCACATCCAGAAAGGCGACAATGTGGCAGGATGTTGCAGCGCGCTTCAATGCTGCCACTGGATATAGCAAGTCTTCCCAACAAGTTCGCAAGATATGGGAAAACATTCGTAATAGGTAGGCTAACCTTGTAGTTTTGACATTAAAATAAATATTAATCCAATTTGGATTGTCGGGTTAATATAATATGGTAAATACTGTACTAAAGATTACGGTGCCGGAATCATATTCATTCTTACGGGTAACATTAAATACATCAGATTCTTATTAAACTTTATTTACAAAATTTAACCTATACGGTGAATACCCAAGTATTCAGCACTATAACCTGTAAGGAAGCAGGGTGTAGGAATGGGGGTAGAGGAGGGGATATAAAAATCCCCCCAAAATGGCAACATTTTAAAAATTCAAAGATTATAGAATCTAGCCAAGTTTTTAAATACTGAATTTATCTACCAGAATACTATAGAGCCTAAAGCAACATTCTGAATGAGGATAATACATAAAACATTTTAGTTGCTGAAAAATAAATTGTTGAAGAAGACCCCATCATTTTGCTTGAAAACTGCACTTTTGAAAATCTGTAATTCAAAATAAAATTTGAAAATTAAAATTTGTTCTTTCTAAATCATAGAGCTATATAAAATGTGTAAAATTCATGAAAATTGGTTCATAAAGACAAGACCTAAAAATATTTAGAGACATAATCATACTTCAGAGTAAAACGACATCAATGATTTCACCGCCAGTAGATGGTGTAGATATTGCTCGATTTTGTTCCAACTTTACGAGTTTGTTGGTGGGGCTGTATTGTACCCGCAAAACGTAGGAAAGTTTCAGGGTAATTGCGTGCCAAACAATGGAAAAAAAAAAGATGGAACCCAAAAGCAAAAATTGCATGTACATTTGTGTGTGCATGTGCAAAAATTGCTATTTGCAAATAATTAAATGTGAACACATTATTAATTAACACGTGTTGCTAAATTTATTTGATTTATAATAACAAATTACAGTAATAGAAAACACTCATTATAAATGCTGGAGTGTATCTTGTGTAGGGGATGATCTGCAAGTGAATTACAGTATCAGGGATGTTTGGTGATGGTCCTGCTAGATCATCATCGTGGATGTTTGGTGATGGTCCTGCTAGTGAATCATCATGGATGTTTGGTGATGGTCCTGCTAGTGAATCATCACCAATGTCAAGTGATGTTCTTGCTTAACTCAGATTGAGTTAGGAGCATCACCAGTTCGTGTTGCTCTGGAAGCAGTGTCACACACTGTCACTTATTGTGCATATCCACAATTTCTTGCATATGCTGCTGCTGTTGGTGCTTAGAGCATTTAGAAGAGAAAGGCATCTGAAAGTGAAAGGTGTCCAATGAGCAATTTACCGTATATTGCTACTGAAAGACCAAGTGAGGACATCTTAGCACAGAACCACTCTCTCTAATGCCTCGAGTGTCACCGATTTTTCTCTCCAGTTGAGAGTCCCTCTATATTTCGACAGTTGCCAGTGAGCATAAAATAAATATATATTGGAATGGGTACATTATTTACAAAAATATATTTATATATTCACACAATAATTATTTACATAAACATGTGATATTGCCATGAAATCAGTAATTGCTTACCGCTTAGTACTGTACTTGCCTATCAACGTTTTTGGTGGCATTAGGCTTAGCACTTCATGCCTTGCTTTCTAACTTTTTGTCCCTAGTGTATTTTTTTTATTGTCTTGACGTTTGAGTTGTTTGTCGTATCTTTGCTTGAATTTGTGTATGAGGGTGACTTCACAACTTCTTTCGGTGCATCAGACTTGTACCAGCTATGAATATTTCTTTACATTTCTTTTGGGTCTTTATGTGCCCAGCTTCAACCAATGTCTCTCTCCTTTTCAGTCATGGTAAAGCCATGACCAAGACAGAGGTTGTGGTTTGATAGATAAAACGAGGATATCTAAAACAGATGCATGTGAACAGAGGAAAAAGGAGAAATAACATGGAGGGACCAAGCAGAATTTATGTATATATATATGGAAGAAAGGTGTTAGGGAACAGGATATTTAAGGATCAATTTTTATAAATACAGTACTACATTTTTATGGCAAGTTGCACATCATCATGCATAGATAATCAATTTACTTGTATTGCATTATTCTTTTACACTTCGCTGTTCTTTGGTTTTACTTATTTGTCTACATATATTTTTTCAGAGCCAAAAAAGAATATATACGAGTTATGCAAGAACAGGGTAAAACCGGGGGACCCCCGTCCACTCCAGTGGATACCTTGAGCTCTCAAGTGCTTCCTCTAATAGAGAATGAGTTGGAACCTGTAGACAATCCTTGGGACTGTGATTCCGATCTTCACAGTCAAAGTGTTCTTGAAGAGTCTGGTAAGTGATGTGTCTTGTGTACATTTATAAGAGTTGATCAGTAGACTTTAGGATTCTGCACAGGTATCATGTCTATCTTGCTGGGGAAAGCACACCCCGAGACCCTCAGTTGCGAGTCGACGACACAGACCACAGCACTACAGGACCCCTTTCAATAATTAGTAAATCTTAATATTATACTGCAAAGTTTTGCATTCATTCATTGTTTATTTATTTTTTATTTATATACAAGAAGGTACAATGGGTTGTGAAAGTACATACAGTGGTACCTCGGATTACGAGCGTCCCTGGTTACGAGTTTTTCGGGTTACGAGCAGAATTTGCTCGGAAAATTTGCATCGGGGTACGTGAGTGTTGATACGCGTACGGGCCAACCTAGCGCGTGGTAGTATGGCGATCGCCCCTCAGTTTACCAGTGCCTCGCGCCCAGTGACTATCCCGCCTGAATTCTTCACCAGGATTTATAGTGTTTTGTTGGATATTTGACCATTTGAGTTGTTATATATCTCACCATGGGTCCTAAGAAAGCCAGTGGTAAGGTTCAACCTAAGAAAATACTGTAGTTGTGAGTAGAGGATGTCCCTTCCTCATTAAGAAAATGTGTTAAGTATGGGAAGAACTGCAAAGTTTTGTTGAAAAAACTCGCCCAGATAAAGCTGTAACAGGCCGTTGCATTGACCTTTTAAATGTCAAAGTGATGTCTTACTACAGACAAGTGTTAAAATGAAGGGGAAAACAAATGTCTTTAGACAGTTTCTTAGTAAGACAAGAAAGCAGTGAGCCACAAGCACATCTTAGTGGTATGCAGGCAAAATGTGACAGAGAATGCACTCTAGAGAGGATCTCACTGCCTGATGTTATAATGGAAGGGGACTTTCATTCCAAACAGTAACACCTCTCCTCCTTCCCCCTCCTCACCATCTTCCATACGCCAACAGCAGTCATCAGCAAGGGTAAGTAATAACTTAGTTTTGTCGTTTAGATTTTGATGAATTAGTTATAAAATTTAATTTGCAGTGAGGTTTTCGGGTAGTCAGGAACGGATTAATTCATTTCCTATTATTTCTTATGGGGAAATTAGCTTCAGTTTACGAGTTTTTGGGTTACGAGCTGTCTCCAGGAACGGATTAAACTCTTAAACTGAAGTACCCCTGTACATTGGTGATTGAGTGGTAGATTCGTGCAAAGCCACTAACATCTAGAGTGTTTCAGGCATGTGTATTGTATCTTGGTAATAAATATTAGCTTTACTCTGTATAAATTATTTAAAAGTTGGAGCAGTGAATGACATTTCTCCAGCACAAATTAGCAAGAGATGCAGCCAGAGGGCTACATGGAGATGTAATAATGCCAACACTTTTGTATGGATGCCAAAGGTGGTGTGGCATGAACATGAAAAAATTAATAATTGGTGCAGTAGAAATGGCCAATCTGTTTCATGCATAGGCTTAGGAAAGTGTTATGAAATTTTCGAGCCTGGCCTCTAGTTCGGCTTTAGGAGTAGAACTTCCGAGACCCTCTCCAGGAAAGATCCAGGTAAGAAAGCAGATAAAGAATGACTATATCAGTTGAAAGATGTGGAGTGCATACGGCAATAACTTGCAAGATTGAGTAGAATGTACCGAGGTTATTTATGCATGATGTATAAATAGATGATGATAAACTGGTAAAAAGAATGTATTAAAGTAAATATGAGAGCTGATGAAGAGGTGGATAGGGCTGATGAAGAGGTGGATAGACATGGTGTTTAAGGATCTGGAATATGTCTTATCATCCCAGCTAAATTTTGTTCTTGAAATCCTAATTATCATATATGCTTGGCAACTATAGATGGGCATTAATGTGTAGTCAGTTTTATTAAACTACACAATATATTGGCAAAAGCAAATCCAAATAAACCTTTCTTTTTTACATGTTTCCAAGTTTAAAAAGTGCACTTAGAGTACTTTTCTGAATGCTGTATCAAAGATCTTTGCCTGTTGTTCTCAAAGTGAAAAAGAAAAGCAATGCAGTAGAGTAAAACAGTCAGTCAGGTTATAGTAAAGATTATTGATAATGATATGTGGGTATCTAAATAATACATTTTGTACAGAATCATACTCTTAGGTACCTTACCTTTATAGAGGACTCTTGTTGGTGTATGGAAGACGGGGAGGAAGGGAGGAGGAGAGGTGTTAGTGTTTAGAAGGGAAGTCCCCTTCCATTATAACAGCAGGGATGACATTTGTGGGGTACTCTCTTTCTCTTACGTTTTGCAGGCATACCACTAGGACCTGGTTGTGGCTCATTGCTTGCTTGTCTTACTAAGAATCTGTCTATAGACACTTGCTTTTCCCCACGTTTTAACATTTGTCTGTAGTGAGACATCATATCGTCTCACTATGAATGATCTCTTGTTTTTCCTCTATCGTCATCCTCATAATTATTTTCTTAGGTTGAACATTACCACTGACTTTCTTGGAACCTATGGTGTGATATATAATAAGAACTTTTATGTTCAGAAACGAAAAAAAGCACAAAAACAATTAAAGTCTTCACAAAGACTCCAAGCGCGGTCATCACGAGACGGGAGACACTGATAAACTGAAGTGCCACGCTCATGGTGGACCCGTACGTGTATAAACAAACTACGACAACCGAATCTAGAAATTTACTCCAAGAACCAAAAACTACAAGAACAGGGGCCTACGAGAACCTAAGTTCCACTGTATAATGGCTTGCCCAAAATGCTGTGTGTGTGTGTGTGTTACTGGCCTTTCATGAATGCAGTACTTATCCACTTAAATTTGTAAATAAGTAAATAAATAAATTTACAATTATTTTTTCCACAGATACAAATAATGGCCCAGCTAGCCATGCTGTCACTACACCAGAGCCTCTCCTCTGCCTTGCAGATCCATCTATAGAGCCTGAGTGTATTGCTGCTCCATCAGCAGAATCTGAATATCATTCTGTTGCAACACCAGAACCCGACCATCTCAGTGGTACAATAGCAATGCCCCAACCATCTGATGTTCCGTCGTTAGAACCAGAGAGCCTTGAAGGTCCCTCGGGAGAACCGGAGCCTATTGCAGCTTCGTCTATAGAACCTGGGAGGGCACATGAAAGTTGTGCAACTGTGACAGATGATAGTCCTGCACAGGTTGTTCCTGTGCAGAGGGTAAGGTCCACCAGAAAAAGAAAAGTGTGGTCCTCGTCAAGATCAAAAGAAGACACCTACGATGTAGCATTAAGGTTGGCAGATGAACGTAACAAGAAGCGTATGGAGATGGATCAAGCCCTGCATAAGCAAAAGATGCATTTAGTGGAGATGCAGATGGCATATTTAGAGGAGTATCATCAACGGCAGTTAGGTGTCCTTGAAATGCAAAGACAGTACTGGGAGAAAAAGTCTGAAAAGGATTAAGGGAAAAGTGATGTTATTTGATATCGTAGATTTAGGTTTTATAAAGTCGCTATTTCATTTCATTTCATTACATGCCCATTGTTTATGATTTTTTTTACCATGACTTCCTGTCTCATCCTCTAAATGTGATAATAAAAATAAGTTCATCAAGAAATATTTTTAAGCCTTTCAAGATTTGTATTAACTAATAAAGTGATACATAATTTAAACAACATTTAAAGTCCTGTTTCATCACAATTAAACACTTATTGCGGTAGGTATCTCTCAGCCTCTGCAAACTCTTTAAAATCTTCTATATATCTTTCAGCAGCTGGTATGTCTGAGCTGACAGCCTCCCCATGTCTCATAACATTATGAATACCACTTCTATATCTAAATTTTTCAAACCATCCCCCTGCTTGCCTTAAAGTCTATTGTATCTGCACTCATTCCAGGGGTTTTCTTTACATGGTCTTTGTGCAATACCCTGGCATTCTCACAAATGATGGCCTCTGAAACACTATCACCCTTTAACTCCTTGTCGTGTATCCAAATTATTAACAACTTTTCCACTTCCTCAAGTATTTGTGGTCTTTGTTTCATGATTGTTCTTATGCCTTTTGCTACTTTAGCACTCACAATGTCCTTTTTATTGGCAAGTATAGTGCATATTGTTGACGTGGATTTGTTGTATTTCCTACAAAGTTCAACAACACGTGCACCATTTTCATGCTTCTGAATGATCTCTCGTTTTTCCTCTATTGTCATCCTCACATGCGATTTCTTGCCTTGATCCTTATCACTGGCTTTCTTGGGACCCATGGTGAGATATATAATAACAACTTTTATGGTCACATGGCCAAAAATTTAATAAAACACTGTAAATTGTGGTGAAGAATTCAGACGGGATAGTCACTGGGCGCGAGGCACTGGTAAACTGAGGGGCGATTGCCGTGTCACCACGTGCTAGGTCGGCCTGTACTCGTATCAACACCCTCGTCTTCCGAGGCAACGCTCGTATTCCGATGTAAATTTTCTGAGCAAATCCTGCTCGTATTCCGAAAAACTCGTAACCAGGGACGTGCGTATTCCGAGGTACCACTAAAAGGGTATTTGAAGAGAGAATATACATTGGGAAAAAGGCTGGATTTTTACTGAGTATTTAGAAATATTTTATGCAAATATTTTTTTTCTGTGTCCTACAATTTATGACATTGACTCATCAATTTGTTGATATTGACTCATTTGACTCAACAATGAAGTGTTGAGGTTTATTTTTAATGCATTTAGGTTTTCCAACAATGAAGCACAAGAGCAACGGGTTCATATCGTCCAAATGCCCTTCTGTTATATTTCTGGTTTATACTTGATCCATTTAATATTTTAACTAGTTGAGCTATGAATAGGAGTTGCCTGAAAATAATTACATTATTTGGTTCATTACTGGTATGTAGGGAAAGGGAACTCTCAGGAGAAAGTGCCAAGCCATTTGCAACTATATAGCACTTGGAAGGAGTCAGGATAAGGATTTGGGATGGGACAGGGAGGGGTGGGGGGGGGGGGGGAAATGGTGCCCAATCACTTGGACGGTCGGAGATTGAACGCCAACCCGCATAAAACAAGACCACTGTCGCTTTACCGTCCAGCTGTACTTGTATGTAGGTCCTTGTAACTACAGTATAGCGACAAAAGATTTTTATATAATTACAGTACTGTGTACTGTGTATGTAAATCGCAAAAATTAACACGTGACGAAAAATGTGAGTGTCAGACCACGGAGGAAGAATTGAAACAGGAATTTCCTTAAGTACTTAAGTATTTAATGATATATCTACAGAAGGATGGCATTACAATACTGTATTTAACAATTGATTGGTTTATGCCAGACAAATATGGTTATATGAGATGTTTTCAACAATTTATTTACTCTCAAAGACTTAGGGTACTTTTGTGCATTAACTCTCATTTGTTATTGTACTTGCCTTGTACAATAATTGTGTATTCATAGCGGCTACGTCAGTATTCAGGATGGTACACTAAGATGGAAAACCGTAAGTTTGCTCCGTCGGCTAAGGTTGCCCTCGACCACTCATGGATTTACGTAAACGGGATATAACTCAATTTTTCTCTACTACACAACACAGAGAATCGATTTTAATATAAACAAAAGATTTGAGTTGGCGAATCTCGTGAAGAGGAGTCCTTCGTGTTAGTTATATATGCATTCTCTGCTTGAAACTTGTAGTAAATATGTCTCTTATGATATTAGAATTAGTTTTATAATAGCAAGATTTTATACCAATAGTTATTAAATAAATACTAGTGAACATGAAATATGAGAGAAGGTGGCTGGTGGGAGCATTTACTATCACCAAATGCCCCACTGCACAAATGATGTTAATTAAGAAGGGTAAAAACTTCAAAACCTTCTGTCATTGAATACTTCAACCTATAATCATAACACAGTTTTGCAGTTTTCAAAATATCAGAAATATCGGAAATCTGACTCACGAGCGTTATTTTCGAGCCGAATTCTGGCTCATTGCACATATTTGGAGTTTGAAATTACGATTTTTTATATAAAAAATATGCCAATTACTGAAAACAGCGATGGGTCACATTTTGCCCAAACCTTCCTGCAGTTTTCAAACTATTAGTAATATCGGAAATCTGACTCAAGAGAGTTATTTTCGAGCCGAATTCTGGCTCATTGCACATATCTGGAGTTTGAAATTACGACGTTTTATACCGAAAATATGCCAATTACAGAAAACGGCGATTTATCACATTTACCCCAAACCTCCCTGCAGTTTTCAGAATATCAGATATCTGAAATCTGACTCATGAACGTTATTTTGGAGCCAAATTCTGACTAATTGCACATATTTGGAGTTTGAAATTACGACTTTTTACACCGAAAAAATGCCAATTACTGAAAACGGCGATGGGTCAAATTTTGCCCAAACCCCGCCTGCAGTTTTAAAAATATCAGAAATATCGGAAACTGACTCATGAGCGTTATTTTCGAGTCGAATTCTGGCTCTTTGCACAATATTTTGAAAACTGCAGGGGGGTTTGGGCAAAATTTGACCCATCGCAGTTTTCAGTAATTAGCATATTTTCGGTATAAAAGGTCGTAATTTGAAAATGAAAATAGGGGCAGAGAGTCAGAATTCGGGTCAAAAATCACGCTCAGGAGTCAAATTTCGGACATTTCAGATATTTTGAAAACTGCAGTGGGGTTTGGGCAAAATATGACCCATCGCTAATTTCAGTAATTAGCATATTTTCGGTATAAAAGGTCGTAATTTGAAAATGAAAATAGGTGCAGAGAGTCAGAATTCGGCTCAAAAATCACGCTCAGGAGTCAAATTTTGGACATTTCAGATATTTTGAAAACTGCAGGGGGGTTTGGGCAAAATATGACCCATCGCCGATTTCAGTAATTAGCATATTTTCGGTATAAAAGGTCGTAATATGAAAATGAAAATAGGTGCAGAGAGTCAGAATTCGGCGCAAAAATCACGCTCAGGAGTCAAGTTGCGGACATTTCAGATATTTTGAAAACTGCAGGGGGGTTTGGGCAAAATATGAGCCATCGCCGTTTTCAGTAATTAGCATATTTTCGGTATACAAGTTCGTAATTTGAAAATGAAAATAGGTGCAGAGTCAGAATTCGGCTCATAAATCACGCTCAGGAGTCAAATTTCCGACATTTCAGATATTTTGAGAACTGCAGGGGGGTTTGGGCAAAATATGACCCATCGCGGTTTTCAGTAATTAGTATATTTTCGTTATAAAAGGTCGTAATTTGAAAATGAAAATAGGTGCAGAGAGTCAGAATTCGGCTCAAAAATCACGCTCAGGAGTCAAATTTCTGATATTTCAGATATTTTGAAAACTGCAGGGGGGTTTGGGCAAAATATGACCCATCGCTGTTTTCAGTAATTAGCATATTTTCGGTATAACAGGTCGTAATTTGAAAGTGAAAATAGGTGCAGAGATTCAGAATTCGGCTCAAAAATCACCCTCAGGATTCAAATTTTCGACATTTCAGATATTTTGAAAACTGCAGGGGGATTTGGTCAAAATATGACCTTCGCTGATTTCAGTAATTAGCATATTTTCGGTATAAAAGGTCGTAATTTGAAATTAAAAATAAGTGCAGAGAGTCAGAATTCGGCTCAAAAATCACACTCAGGAGTCAAATTTCCGATATTTCAGACGTTTTGAAAAATGCAGGGGGGTTTGGGCAAAATATGACCCATCGCAGATTTCAGTAATTATCATATTTTCGGTATAAAAGGTTGTAATTTGAAAATGAAAATAGGCGCAGAGAGTCAGAATTCGGCTCAAAAATCACGCTCAGGAGTCAAATTTCTGACATTTCAGATATTTTGAAAACTACAGGAGGGTTTGGGCAAAATATGACCCATCGCCGTTTTCAGTAATTAGTATATTTTCGGTATAAAAGGTCGTAATTTGAAAATGAAAATAGGTGCTGAGAGTCAGACTTTTGCTCAAAAATCACGCCCAGGATTCAAATTTTCGACATTTCAGATATTTTGAAAACTACAGGGGGGTTTGGGCAAAATATGACCCATCGCTGTTTTCAGTAATTAGCATATTTTCGGTATAAAAGGTCGTATTTTATAAATGAAAATAGGTGCAGAGAGTCAGAATTCGGCTCAAAAATCACGCTCAGGAGTAAAATTTCCGACATATCAGACATTTTGAAAACTGCAGGGGGGTTTGGGCAAAATATGACCCATCGCCGTTTTCAGTAATTAGCATATTTTCGGTATAAAAGGTCGTAATATGAAAATGAAAATAGGTGCAGATAGTCAGAATTCGGCTCAAAAATCACGCCCAGGAGTCAAATTTCCGACATTTCAGATATTTTGAAAACTGCAGGGGGGTTTGGGCAAAATATGACCCATCACCGATTTTAGTAATTAGCATATTTTCGGTATAAAAGGTCGTAATATGAAAATGAAAATAGGTGCAGAGAATCAGAATTCGGCTTAAAAATCACGCTCAGGAGTCAAATTTCCGATATTTCAGATATTTTGAAAACTACAGGGGGGGTTTGGGCAAAATAGACCCATCGCCGTTTTCAGTAATTAGCGTGAATCTGGCCTGAATATTATATAACATTCTCTGGGTTGTTAAACAATTTGGCGGGTCGTATTCCAAGGGGGAGGACGAATTAGGATTAAGGACTTTCCTGAAACACTTACGTGTGCTAGTACATTTACAAGAATGTTAGAATGTAAGTATAAAATTTCTCCCTTTTCCTTTTGCAAAGTAACCCTGCTTTCGTGTCTGGTCTATTTATTGTAGATTTAGTGACCTTATTTTATCTAGCTTTGTGGCGTTTGTTTTGTTAGATTTATATATTTATTGGATATAATATTTGTTTATAAAATAAAATATTATTGTTATTATTATAAATATAACTGAACGGTACAACAGCTGATTGTGGTATTCTTTAAGCGCGTGTTATATTCTCTTGAAATGTGAAAATAATCAAAAACGTTCTTTTAGTATGAAAATTATACATTAAAATATAAATTTCGAGAATGAACAGTATAAATAAATCGAAATTTACAGAAATCATAAGAAATATATAGGAAATATTGATAAACTTGTGTGTTTTTTTATGGAAGAAGATAATATTGGAACCGTAGGCTGTGTAGAGGATCAATGACGCGGCTGTGAGAACGCTCGTTATTTCCTCGCTAAAAAGGCCGCTATTTCTCAGTGGCAGGTGTTGCATGCTGGAATAAAGGCTCACAGTGCATGGAGGTAAAGGCGAGACAGCGGGCGAGGTGTGTGGGCTGCTCGCTCCAACTGTGAGAGGAGGACATTACTCTACCATTTTGTTTTGGTTCGAAATCTAATATTTTTTGGATAACTTGATTTGTATCCCTTCCTCGGTTTTATTTTGTTGGTTTAAGGGGGGAGGGATTTGGTGGGTGGATAGCTAGTGGTGGGTGTGTTTGTGGGCGTGTGGGTGGAGAGGTGAGGTAGGGTGAAAGTGAAGGAGAGGCGGAGAGTATGGAAGGTGACAAGTGTCACTTTTGAGACTCCTAAATTGTCATATTTTCTCGTTTTAGTTTCTTGTGTCTTTGAGTTTAACTCGAATTTAAATCGTTTTGGTTACTGTAGTACTCAAAGTTTAGTAATTGTCAAATCTTGTCTTAGTTATAATTATAGTAATTACAAAAAAAAGTGCATATTGTTATATATATAAAAGTGGAAATTCTAATGCACCTTAACCTTTATGTTTAGTTAGTTTAAAATGTAGGTTATCTAGAGGTTATCTTGGGATGATTTTGGGGCTTTAGTGTCCCCGCGGCCCGGTCCTCGACCAGGCCTCTACCCCCAGGAAGCAGCCCGTGACAGCTGACTAACACCCAGGTACCTATTTTACTGCTAGGTAACAGGGGCATAGGGTGAAAGAAACTCTGCCTATTGTTTCTCGCCGGCGCCTGGGATCGAACCCGGGACCACAGGATCACAGGATCACAAGATCACAAGTCCAGTGTGCTGTCCGCTCGGCCGACCGGCTCCTTGCATATATGAGTAACAGGTTATCTTGAAGTAGTAGCATATATGAGTAAAAATCCTTCGATTTGTTTAGGTCGATATAGGGACATCATTGCAGTGTCTTGGTAGTCAATAATGACTAATGGCTTATCATCATAGTAGAGATGATGATGAAAGTGTTTTATCATTATTGTTCAAATAATGTAACATTCCATCATTTGGCAAAAAAAGCACAGTATATGAAGTTAGGCTAAATTTAGATAAATTAGGTAGTTCAGAATTTCCAGTACAGTGTAGTAGCACAGTAGGCCTATAAAGAATCGTGTATTTGCCACTCTGCACCTGACACAATGGTAGTTTTTGTAACGACATTTTTGAGTTTTTGCACCGTTTTGAGGTCAAATGCAAAAATGATGTTTATAATGTTCATTATCCTGAATGCAAATAGTATGGCACCCATGAACTGATACAATGCTTATTTGGGCATCATCATATTGATCATAAAATGTTTTGAAGCTCGACACCGGCTGTCCGCCTCTCACACGGTCCAGCGAGCAGCGCCGAACACACGCATCTACAGTGTTTAGGAATGACTAGTTATTGCAGAAATAAATCCATACTCCATTGAAGAAATGTCTCACAAATACTGATAACATGATTATATTTTTTTGAATTATTTTTTATTTGTTTCAAGTATGGTACAGTACTGTATATAGTGTATTGTATATGAAACCACCTTATGAGGGTAGGGGGGGTGGGGGGAACTGAATCATATTAGGGTACTTGAGGTTATCTTGAGATAATTTCTGGGCTTTAGTGTCCCCTCGGCCCGGTCCTCGACCAGGCCTCCCCCCCCCAGGAAGCAGCCAGTGACAGCTGACTAACACCCAGGTACCTATTTCACTGCTAGGTAACAGGGACAAAATAAGGACAATTGCAATTAAGGACAACAAACAATTGTACAGTTTAAGGACAAAATTACATTGTGTGTAGTGTTATCCTTAAACTTCAATTTCACTCGTATAAACACTACCTCGACGTATCCCATTTATTAATATTCCATAAACATTAAAATACTTCAAGATGGCATCACAGTGGGCTGCACTTTTAAGAAATCCTCTCATAACCTTGGGATGTCTCCACGTGAGATTAAAGAAGTTGTTGTAGGGGATTAAATTGTAAAATTTCGACTCCTAAAATACAAAATGGTGCCTGCGATAATTAAATTTCCCATTACTCAGTATATCTATCTAAATAATCACTATGTAATTATTAAGGGAAAAATGAAATTGAAGATTGTTCTTGCTTTCAAGATTTAAAAGCTGAATAAAAATTAACATGTGATTTAATGAATTACTTTCTAGTTGACTATCTACAGGGTTAGACTGGTGTTTGGCTAGTTGCTAGTCGAGCCCACTGTATATACATACAAGTATATGTATGGCAGTCATAGATACTAGTGGGCAGGGCTTGGATAAAAAAAGAAAATGGGGCTAAAATTAAGAAAGAAAAAGAGGGGAAGTTAAAGTGAGATTAAAAAAGTATTTTCAGGTTTGAACTTAATCCAAAAATTGTATAATCAAGCCTGCCCTGGCCCAACCTAATTCAACGTGGCCACAAGACGCCAGTGCACCTGTCACTTATTCTATACAAATTATTTACCGTACACACCAATTTAAGGTAAGAATGTGTGTCTTATGCATTTTAGGGAAGGTTATTTTACACAAGACATGGTTATTCTGTACATTCTATAGGTTTAAATTAACCCAATTCAATCTAATCTAACCTAGATTAGGCCTGACTGGGGTAGGCCTAGTGTGTGCACTAATGCCTCTCCAACTTCATCTTATGGTTCCTAGACTTATGCAACCTATTTCCGTCCTTTTTTTCCTAATTGCCGTGCAGAATCTGGGCTCTGAATTGGCATCCATCTGTGTGGTGTCAGAATTATTATTAGTCTTGTTAAAGACGTGCAGGCAATGAGTCACAATAACGTGGCTAAAGTATGTTGACCAGACCACACACTAGGTGAAGGGACGACGACGTTTCGGTCCGTCCTGGACCATTCTCGAGTCGATTCTCAAGTCATTGTTAAAGACTTGCCTCTGGTGGCAGCATTTTCTAATTATCTTTACTAATATATTGGTGGCTCAGACCCCAAAGTTGGAGTTGAACCCTATGATCTCTCTGGATGACTGTTTTGTCATGATTACAAACCAGTGTGCAAAAAATGTGGCTGTCGGCTCGTATCACTCTGCCAGTTCTGAAATGTTTATGGCCCGTTGCCCTCTTGCGCCTTTTGTCTCCAGTTGGATTCTTCCGGTTTATTCATTGTTATAGTTCCAGAGAAAACATTTTATCTAGCAATCAAATGTTACCAAATGTTTTGCCCCTTGTTTTCCAAAAGATGCCTTTATTTTCTATGTATTTTTGTATTTATTCAAACAAAAACATTTGGCTTTGTAAAAATGTTCATAAAATTCATTCATATTTTTCTAAAGGTAGGACTATGTGTACTTTATCGCACGTTAACAATTTACATCAACGTAGCGGGAAACTTTTCAAACGGGTCATACTGGTTTACAGAGGACACGCGAATTCTTAGTTCAGCCCAGAATTACCTTAAGAAATTGATGTATACTTAAATAACTTTCAAGTATACTCTCGGTGTACACCTTTTGTTAGCTTGTATACGCAGTGTCTAGGTTCTGTAACTGACAGTTTTGAGTTATCTTGGTTCTGATCTGCTTAGTACCTTGATGGTGGTTATTCTCTGGTGCCAGTAAGGCTGATGTTGAAATGCTTGAAGAGTTCCCATGCTCTGAGGTGGGACCTGGGAAATGCCTTTGATGTATTTGATATGATTAAAATATATCTCATATTCTCCCAAAATGCTCTGTGGATTTAGTGGTTGTGTCATGTACATTTCTTACCCACATATTCTCCACTGTATCAAATGTATGTACTGTACTGTACTTTAATACCCTGTATACATAAAATTATATTATGATTATCCCATCATTATTACTACAGTACTGTACTTGGAAATTTTATTGAGGATTTTTAAAGGCTTCTAGATAATCTTCTTGTATTGATAATTTGAGGTAATTTTAACCTTTGACAATTTTTCATTATTGATCTAAAAATATTTGTATAGTAAATTACAGTAGATGCATATTATCAACCCTTGATGACTTTTATATTGTATACATTTCTGCCATGTATTGAATTTTAATGATAGGAAAAAATGAGAACAAGCCCATTGTAAAATTGACACATTTGGAGAAGTGCAAGATCCTTGACTGTATCAAGTCGCAAAACAGATTTAATTTCTTCCAAAAGTGGTATGGCGAGTGGAGGTGGGGACAGGCTGCGAGTGGCGACAGCAGTGAACTTGCGGCACAAAATGGATGCTCTCGTGTCTGACCTCTCTCATGCCTTGGATGAATCTCAGCTTCCACAATACCACCGCAAGAGACGAGGTTTCAAGCGTCGTGCCAAACTAGCCACGAACCTGAGTAAGTATTCTTAAAAGTTAATTGTAAAAAGAGATGTATTATACAGTAGCATTTATTTATTTACGATTCCCAACCATTGGTTGAAGATTCGTTTGTGCAGAAAATGGTAAAGAAAATTGTTTATTTTATTTAATATATATGCAACATCTACAAAAGTCTGGTCAGTGCCTCTAATCATTTGAATAACCGATATTTGTGGAATTATGTTTGTCACCTGCAGGCTTATCAGGCAATCGTGCACTGAGTGAAGATTCATCAAGCAGTATTGGTGAGGTTGTCCTCTCCCAGGACAACAAATCATCAATACCTCTGTCAGACTCGGATGATATGAGTCCCCCTCCCGAGCCCCGTCACCGGACTCTACTCCTCACACATCACAGAACGCCTTCAAACCTTGCCGAATCCGACTCTCTTAACGAGAACTTTTCACCTGCCCGACCACATAACCGCAGGTAGGTATTGAATTTTGTCGAACGTGGGGACTTGTGACATTTTAGTATAAATATCACATGTAATAAAAAGGGTTACATTTTCAAGATAGTTTTGGGAGTAGTAGAGTGAGAAGAATCTGAAAGCTTAACTTGCAATGCATCTAGGGGGGATACACATGTACACAGTGGAAAATTGTGTAGTACAGAGAGAAAATGAGTGTGCCTGTGTGCTTTTGGCAGAATTGATGTAGGTGAATGTACGGCACAAGGTAGGTAATAAATACAGTACTCGGTTAAATAGATGGTGAGGGTATGGAATATAATTTAATGAAGATGACAAGTCGAAATAACGAGATTAAAGATATGGTGATCAGACGACGTGTATCAGAATATGAAGAAGCGATTACGTATCGGTTCGCCTTGGACTGAAAGTCCTTTACACGACTTCATAATGATCCAGGACAGACCGAACCATTGCTGTTTCTTTATTTACTCTTGTGTGGTTTGGTCAACTTTTAATGAGGAGAATTAGAGGTAAAAGGTATGAATGGGGGAAAATAACATATTGAAACTGAAAATCTATTTAGAGATACTGTACTGTATTAAAACATAAGAGAAAGCAGGAAACATGACTTGAGAGGCTGCCAATTAAAGATGACTGTTTACTAAGAGATTAACAGATTTACTGATTCGTTGAGTTTACTGATTTTATGTTGGCTATCTTTTCTGTGTTGTATTTTCATGCCTGTGTAGATGTATACAATATATATATTGTATATACAGCATAGTTTAATAGTACTGTATTAAACCTAAAATTATGAAATTCATCAAAGCTGCCATAAAGTGTTTAACTTTGGAAATATAGTAGTTTCATCACTAAACTTTTTATACTGAATAATTACTTTTAATATGGAGAATATAGTCGGAAGTACACTAATGGCTTTCAGTGTCAACCCTTTTTTATGTAGGAAAAGGAAATGCAAGAGGTTAGCCTTAGACCCAGATGCGCCTTCCACTTCCACAACACAAACCTCGGCTGCTATGCTGTCTGGCCTGCCGATGGCCAAACCCACTGCCATTGCCTCGGCCATTTTGTCAGGAGCTTCCAATAGTCGCAAGAAGAAGGTTCTGAGACCGTCGCCTGATTCGGAGTACCGGTGAGGAAGCTTACACTATGACTTGGACTAAATTTTTTTTTTGTTCATTAATTTCTGTATTGCAGAAGCAGTGTTCTTTTAACATAGAACACGTATGAACTTGATTGAACAAACCCCGCTTCCCCCCCTCCCCCCCATCTTTTCAAAACTAATTACACCAAGGTAACTAATTTTGAAGGACTGTGATTCGGGAGCAATTGTAAGCCCTTGTGAGTGTTGTAAGTTTTACTTATCTTCACTAACTTCCAGAGCTTAATATATGGCATTCCATTTACCGCTGCGCCACACCAAACGACAAATGCTGTTTTTTTTTTTGTTTTTTTTAATTAGGCTATATTTTCATCACTTTGTGTTTTAAAATGAAAATAGTTGAGTTTGGAAACATTTTGACATTAACTTTACCTGAACATTTATAAAAACAACAAAAATATGTTCTTAACAATTGCACTATGAAGTTTTTGCCAAAAACAGGTGCGCAGTGCAGGGGTTAAGGATAATGATTTCTCTTCCCTATCATGCTAAAACATTATCCTTTTTAGATTTGAGGTGAAAATGCTGTACACAGCAGCCTGGAAAAAAATCCAGCACATACATCTGTATTTATGAAAAGTGTAGAGAAAGCATCTGGGGCCAGATTCACGAAGCAGTTACGCAAGCACTTATGAACCTGTACATCTTTTCTCAATCTTTGGCGGCTCTGTTTTACAATTATTAAACAGTTAATGAGCTCCGAAGCACCAGGAGGGTGTTTATAACAATAACAACAGTTGATCGGGAAGTTTTCATGCTTGTAAACTGTTTAATAAATGAAACCAAAGCCGTCAAAGATTGAGGAAAGATGTACACGTTCATAAGTACTTGCGTAACTGCTTCGTGAATCTGACCCCTGATTACAGTACTTAAAATAATTATAATTTCCACATGTTTGTAACTATTTTTGATAGGTATATGGCAGTATCTGCTGGAAAACGAAAACGAGGCAGAGAACGAAGTGTGGAATGGTGTGGTGGACAACACGTTTCACACAGCAAACGCCATGGGTCGTCGTCTAGTCATTTTCATAATCTACGTGTCCACCATCGACCATCCCAGGCAAGCACCGAGGACAGCATGGAGTTCGACTGCTCAGATGATGCCAATATGTAAGTCATTAGAATGTTATTGAGACATTACTTGCCACTACTTATTTTTGAGAGTACATAGTAATTTGAATTCTTGTAAATGGTTTGAAGTGTTTGTGTTTAACTAGTGGAACATATGCAAGAATTAAGTGTAGAGAGTGATTTGATAATGTAGGAGCAGGCTATTATTATAAGGTATGGTATAATTGGTCCATGATTGGTCAATACTGTATATGTATACGCTTATGTAGATGAGATTGAGGGTCAGTAAAATCTACAATTTTATGTATGCAGATGATTCAGTATTTTTAGCACAGAATGTTTGTTTGAAAGTTTTGGCCCGTGTTAGAGAAGATTGCTTAGAGTGTGTGAATCTGAAAAGTCATGATGCTAGTGAAAGAAGATAAGAAATATATTAGTTTGAATTGAGATGTGCTGAAAAGTGGGTGATCAATGTATATACAGTATTGTATTTTAGAGAGCAAGACTAAAAGGAGGAGCTTGTACAAGCAAAGTAGAGATTAAAGTAAAGGATTACAGGAAGGCAGGAGAGGCCTGCCTGAACTGTCGGTTTCCAGTTCAGTTCATAATAAACAGTAGAATGTACAGGTGCTGCTTTGGTACAAGAATGTGTTTCAAAAGGGCCTCGAGCATAAAATAGTTGAATAAATCCACACGGGCCGTGATGAGGGTTCGAACCTACGTCTGGGGTGATCCCAGATGCGCCTTAGCAAACTGCACCATTACATGGAAAGGAATTGCAACCTGGAGTGCTACTGCCCTTGTGGATTTGTTCATTTGATATATCGTGCTATTGGGATTTCTTTGTGTATAAAATAGTTGAAGTTGTAAGGTCAGTTTGTGGTATTTTGAGCACACTGCATCAGAATGAGAACTTTGCTCTGAGAATAGCACCCACCCAACTTGCATACAGGCGTATCAACTATTGTGTAGTTAATATTTGAATGTCTGATATATTAGAAGCACATTGCCATAATTTTTGTATTAGAATTTGTGAATATAGAGGTATCATAAAGAAATCCCCTTCCCCTAGTTAAACTAGCTCAGTTCCTTGTTAAGACTTGTCCATTAAAATTTAATTATAAACTAGAGTCGAAAGGTTTTAAAATTTTAACAAGATCTTCCAATAGACTTTGGTCTAAGGAGTCTAGTGTTTATATATAAAATTTCATAAACTTCGGTTGAATTTCCCTGGAATTTCCCGTTTCTTTATATATGTTAAAGTAAACATCAGTTTCCTTGGGTTTCCCCCTTTTCAGTTTGGAAATTAAATGCAGAATTATGTGTCCCTTTGCCAAGCCTTATGTATTGTCTTACATATGAATGCAATCATTCATAGTATTGATAGAAATACACTCAGAAATGTACTGTATAATGAATGCAATCATTCATAGTACACGTCAGTTTCCTTGGGTTTCCCCTTTTCAGTTTGGAAACTAAATGCAGAATTATGTGTCCCTTTGCCAAGCCTTATGTATTGTCTTATAAATGTGGAGGGAACACAGTAGCAGCGAGAGCAGCAGCGAGAGTGAGGCTGGCATATACACCTGTGATGAGGGAAGAGAGGCTGATGATGAGCAGAGTGACTGGTTTGCCGAGCCCGATCCTGTGTATGGGGTACCACCCGGGACCACGAATGGTCCCCGGCAGCGAAATACTTCAAATCGTTTGACGTGGTGGAATGACAATGAATTTGGTCTTTCTTCTTCGGCCAAGGTACGGTACACGATTTTTGTGGACTTGACGACCTTTTGTTTTGAGATTTAAAGGGTTATGAAATTTGAAACAGTCTTCGGGTTTTTTTCACTGTAGTATTCTTGATAATGTAAGTGAATTTCTTGCTACTTGAAGGAATCAACCAGCATATACTTTTCACCAAAACTTGTTTCAAAGATTGGATACAAGTGCTAAACCCTAAAGACTGGCATTGATTTGAAACAAAAGATATATACAATACAAACTTCCTAAATATCTTATAATTTTTCTGAATTAAGACATCTTTGATGATGAGTGAATCAGGCTTGTCACAAGTGAATACTGTTATAAATTTTGTGAATGGCAGTAAATATGTTTCCTCCCGTGTTTATCTTATTTCTTGTTAATATAAACGTTTTCTATGTTTTGTTAAGTAGTGTAGTTGTTGTATTCATTAGTCATGTGGTAAACATATTGTATATCATTATCTGTTCTTTTTGTATAAGAAATTATCTGAATTCTCAGTACAGTAGGACCTCCAATACCACAGTCATGTCGTTCAGGACCTGTTCTGGCTTCCCAAATAATCTGGATTTTGTAATTGTGCCTTTTTGGCTAATTATCAGGAATGAGAATATTACTGAGATTCTCATTACTGAGAATAATAATATTACTGAGAATATTTGAGAATTAATATACAGTATATTTATGATTGCTGGAATTCAAAATGTGTGTAAAGTAATGAAGGTGGAATAGATAGACTTGTTGGAACTTACACCATAATGGGAAGGGGAACTATGAGAAATAGTAAAGGAAAAGACCTGGAAGTAAACAAATCCACAAGGGCTGTGACGAGGATTCGAACCTACGTCCGAGATCTTCCCAGACGCTGCCTTAATCGACTGGGCTACGACATGGTCAAAAGAGTTGAAACCAGAAGTTCTACTGGACTTAACCTGGAAGTAGACATAATTTCAACACTTGGTAGGAACTCGTACGAACAGGATAATGCCAGTGGTTTATGGAAAGTTGGCAAATATATGATCAGCCTTTAAAAATTCAAATAAGAATGATTTGAAGTCCATATATACAACCTATGTGAGATCATTACTGGAGTATGCAGCACAAGCATGGGAGGAGAAAAATCAGAAATTTGACATTTCAGTAGACTAATATATCAGAATTGAGTGGGCTCATCTGATTGCGAGTACAAGTAAAGGGAACTGAACCAAACCTCCACAGAGGAGAGAAGAAAGAGTTGTGGGTTTTCGTCCAGTGAATTGAAGTAAGTACAGGTAGGGGAGGAAATATGATCCTAAGAGACAGACAAAATCAACACGGCCAGCCTATATATATATATATTAAGGTGGTTGGATAAGGGGGCATAGGTGGAAGCTTAATATGCAATTTAGCTATAAAGATGCAAAGAAACGATTATACACTGTAAGGTGGTTGGCAAGTGGAAAGCATTGAACAAACTTGATGACACGTCCATCTACAACTTTTAACAAAGTACGACACAGAACTTGAACGCCGAGATGTAGTTAATGCGCCGTGTATAAATGACTACAAAGCATGAAACAGTTGAATGTTACTCCATAGTCATTGAGAGGTGTTAATTTTTGAGACTAATTATAACTAGACATTATAATTAGACTAATTATAACTTGGTCAGTACTCATTTGAGCACATTGTTTGGGCACCACCAAAAACATTAACCAAAAAATAATATTTACTTTTATAGTTAGTAGTAATGATCTCACAGTACTTTATAGTAAAATAGTAGTAAAATACTATTTAATAGTAAATAGTAGTTTAAGAAAAATCCGGATTATGATGAAAAGTCCAGATTTAAGATGGGGGGGATCCGGTAGAGGTGTTTGGTCCATTGTTTATTTGAATCCTCGATGTTTTGGAGGTTCTACTGTATGTTTTCAACACTGTTTTTTGTGTTGGTAAATAACTGTTGAATGTCTTGCAGGTTATCTTGAGATTCTTATCTTGAGAATCTTATCTTGAGGTGTTTTATTAGCTTGTGTCAAAGGCCTATTTCCACTGTTCCATTTTTTTTTTTTTTTTACAAAGCATGAAAATAGTTTTTGCATGTTTTATGCAAAGGATATTTGATAGAATTTGCATATATATATTATTCATATACTGTACTGTATTTAGAAAGTTGTGATGAAACATTGGTAAAGTGAGACTAAAGTGAAACTAGTGAAAAGAAATGGAATTAAAAGGATTAAGGGGAAATGGGTTTGTGTACACATTTAAGGTTAATTTGTTTTGAAAGAGAATGATTATGGGTTTGAGAGCCATGGTGATCTCCCTACTGAAGGAGAAAGGTTTCCCTGCCTTGTGAAATACAGTACATGAATAAAAGAAAATAGTATTACTGTCTCATTCCCCCACAGTCGAGGCGTCTTGGGCAACTTCCGCCAGGTGGTGTACTTCTGGAAAAGTAATAAATTATTTGAGCCATAGTAGTTGTGTTCCTCGAGTCCTTTCCTTTTCATTTCTGTCGGCTTATCCTCTCATTTTTGTACATGGTTTCTCATTATTTTTTTCTCCCTTTTACTAGATAGTACTGTAATGTAGTAAGTTAAATTTTGTCATGCTTTCCCCAATTGGGCAAGCCTGTAAACACACTTTGTTCATTGTATGCTTGTTAAAGCTGACATGTGGACGTGCGCTGTTGTCGCTCACGCAGCCAAGAAGTTTGTACTGTATTACCTCGAAGATGTCATGTTCTTGCACAAATATTTGACAAATATACATTTTATTAGCTTGCGCTTTACCACAGGTTTTTTTTAATTTGTTTTAAAAGTTTAAGATATTCAGAATAAATCTCTAAAAAAAAAATATAGTTAATGTTTACATAATTTGTCATGTTCTCTGTTCATGTATCTGTTGCAACAGTTTGGAAGTGTGCAATAACGATTTTTTTTTTAGATTTCTTTGCAGTGAAAGTGTAAATGTATGTCTTAGATATTTTTCATAGCACCTCTAGAGGAATTATCCAGATATTACAAAAAAAATCACAGTTGAGCAGCAGAATTATGATAAGACAAGTGAAATACACATTTACATTCATTGAATGGTGCTAAACAAGATTGTGTGCATTTCCACTTTGATGCCTTGATCCTTTAAACAAGCTAATATGTTTTGTTTTGCAGTATACACAATATTTCTTTTGTTGCCTTAAACAACAGAGTCGCATATTGGTTATTTGATCCCAAATTAAACTGTGAGCATTGGACTTTTTAAGCAATAAATGTCTTTGGCTTTGTTCCGAACTCTCCATATCAGATGTACCTTAAATTGCGGCTGTTAATAGAACTCTTCACTTTTGTGTCCTTGACACTAAAGCTTCCAACTAATTATTTGATCTTAAAAAGTTATATTTTTTAAGTCATTATGACAAAAGTCAAAATTGCAACTATTTGATCTTGACAAAAAAAAAGTAATTTAGTTAAAGTTGTGTGCATACCAAGGTGGCGGGTGGAATTTTTTGTACAGGGGCTCAAATTCTGTTGTACTTCAAATGCAGTTGAAGTACAGAATCTTTAGATTATACCTGGTCACCCCATCTAGTGAGGAGAGTCCCACGGGGAAGCAAGGCATCAAAGCTAAGAAACGATACAAAGGATAAACTAATTTGACAACGTTGACATGAGCGATGACTTGCCTCTGCAAATATAAGCATGCAGGAAAATTACAAAATTTACATATTTTATCAGTTTTGGTCTTGCATAAAATAATACTGTAGTTGTTAAAGTTATCTTAACGAGTAACCAGTAGAGGTTTGAGAGCCGCTACAGTTGATTTAATGTATCTTGTCACCCCATTTGATCCTCTCGTCAGTCTTTTCGTTGATTTAACAGTTTTGAGAGATTGGAAATAAATTGATTATAGTAACAATTTTTGAACATTGATAATTGCACAGCTGTAATTTTAAGTAATTCTGGTGCTAAAGAGGATTTTTTTTTGGGGGGGGGGTGGGGGGGGGGGCAGTAACTTAGGCCTAATAACATGTACTTTTGCAAGTAGTAAAAAGTTCTCTGCTCATGCTGGTCATTTACAGTTAAAACTAACTCTTTTTAAGTAATTTTAAAGATTTTAAGAAAAAATTATATTTTCATATTGAAATTTATATGCTAAACCTCATTATACTTGAGCTGAACCAAGTATAGTTCTGACAATATGTTTCACAATTGTAACATTAATATGAATAACAGCATGATCAGTCAGAGTTTATAATGGTTTAATATTTATAATTTTGAATATTATTACTCTGGTGTATATCATGGATTAACCTGGGGTCTATGATTATTGCATGACCAACCTGTGTGGTTACAATTCTGACATGCGATATGGTTATACGTTAATCTGATTAACTATCGACATCTTGATGCAAGATGCAGTGATCCTGCCTCAAATGGCTTGAAGCTACTAATATAAATCTTGTTTGTGCAGGATTTGGTAGCTGTTCTATCCGACCTGGTACTATATTTTGAAAGATTTATACTGTATTACGAGTCTCGGTGTGAGAGCTATAGTTGTAATTCTCTATCGACCTTAGGTGGCAGTGAATTTGTACCTTAACATTATAAGTAGGCATGTGTAGGGTGGAGAAATGAAGATACTTGGTAAGTTGAGCCTTTATTCACCGATGTCTTTAGAATTTGATGTCAAGTCAAACCAATTTGTTGCAAAATGCCTTCAAGTATAAGCTCATCCTGCCAAGTACCTCGGTTCTCTCACTGATTGTGCAGGGTGATGGGGACGAGGTTGTACCCAACAACAGTCATTGGCAGTGAATTTTAATTGTGCTCTTAATAGTTGCTAATTGTTTAAATTATTTGATTGTTAGTATACTTTTGTGTAATTGAGATTAGGTTAATTTATATAATGAAATTAAAATTACAAAATGATTTAAGCATTCTAAACAGTGATGATTTAAGATGGCCATCAGTGATTTGATGTTATTATGGTGTATTTGCACTTGAGCTTCTGCTACAAGGAAAGGAAACTGTGTGTGTGTGTGCGTGTTAATATTATGTAAAGTCGTTTTTCTTTGTGTATAGGGGCCGGTCAGCTGAGTGGACAGCACACTGGACTTGTGATCCTGTGGTCCTAGGTTCGATCACAGGCGCCGGTGAGAAACAATGGGCAGAGTTTCTCTAACCCTATGCCTCTGTTACCTAGCAGTAAAATAGGTACCTGGGTGTTAGTCAGCTGTCACGGGCTGCTTCCTGGGGGTGGAGGCCTGGTCGAGGACCGGGCCGCAGGGACATTAAAGCCCCGAAATCATCTCAAGATAACCTCTCAAGAAGATAGGGTGTTGTGGTGCACCAGTTAACTTGGTTGCTGTCTGTGGAAGCACTACGCTCACTAGTAAATGGAGCGTTCTTTCTTCCACCAATGGTTCTTTCTTTCTTTACTTATCCCCAGACTGAAGTGCCTGTTGGGGGTCTGTTTCACTCTCCTCACCTTTGTGTAGTGCCTTTCATTGAATGATTTTTGCTACTGTATTTTCTGCCCTTTGTTCCCTTCCCATCATGCTCCTACCCATTACTACTGTAGTTGTATGTTGTTGCTGTAGGTGGCTTCTGAAGGCAGTCCTCGTGCTTTTTACACATTTGTGCTTCAGTGTAAGCAAGTACTGTAGTGACTTGCATTCGTTTGGTTGTTAACTTAACGTGTAAAATGTGTGTTCGTGATGTCTGGAGGTATGAAATGTCTTGGAAGATTCTACATATGACTGCTTCCTCATGAATAGGTAGTTTCCACGGGAAACAAGACACCAAAGATAGCACCATTGTTCTTTTAAGAGTATGGAAGTTGCAAGCATGGCACAAGCTAAATGTGTGTGTAGTAGATGACTGCAATGCACATTTTTCTTTTCACTCGATTTCTAAAGAACCTTTCTTGAAGCATCACTGCATGTTTGGGTTCCATACTTAGGCAACTCAAATTTTTTATAATTGTTTAATGAGTGATGGGACAAACTGTGCGATGTTTTTTTAGTCTACATATTGTTCACTGAAATAATACTAGGCACTGGATGTAGGCCAAGGGCTACCAACAGTGATGTGAAGTGTCGTGTTAATAAAGCTTATTCCGAGTGGAGTACTGTCTACAGTATAGGCTTGGTGTTGTACGTTGTGTATCATCACAATATGGAGCACTGATGGACAGTTAAGACATAATCAATTACCTTAACAGAAGATAAAGCATAAACCCAAGTTTAACCTAATTCATTTGAAAATTAGTTATGCATTAGTTTTAAATTTCACCCCTTAGCTTATGAGAACAAAATGCCAATGACTGTAACGCGTACAGTAGGTTTCGGTAAATGCCTTTTGACGGGTGGCGTGAGTTGCTTCCCTCTTTCCTTTCCAGGCTCTGTTCAAAGAGAGGTATGAGACAATGTCCGTGGAGAACCAACAAGCCTGCAGACTTAGATTCCAAAAGCTGAGAGAGAGGCTTTTGGTGAGTATTGGCGTATTATGCATCCTGTTATTTTCAGACGAGGTGAATAGTTTGTCGACTCGTGTGGGGGCCTGTAGTTGGTGAAGGCTAATCTAACAGTTGCATTGTACTCTCAAAGTGTCAGGTCAGGAGAGAGTAATATCATTTATAGAACGAATGCATTTCAATAGCATGACATCGGAATACAATGCATTTGATATCATAGGCAAAACTTTGTAGTTTACACAATGTTGTTTGGCATGATACTTTGTTTAATCAAGAGAATATGAAAATTAGGCATACTGACACTTTGAGGGTTGAGTTGATAGTTTTTTCAGATAAAGGAGGAGAAGGAGAACTGAATCTCGCAAATTCTGACCAGCTTAAAAATGTCAAATCTGAATTGGACTATGTAGCGCTGATATAAGAGAACTCCCTCACGATAAATGAACAAAGTTAGCATTTTCAAATTATTAAAGTTTACTAAACCATCACTAAATAAGATGAATGAACGAGATTCAGATAAGTTCATAGTACTGTGCATTGTATTAGCAGGTGCTGAGGTAGGAAACAAAAACTAATACTTCTAGATACTGAATAAAAAGTAAACTTTCAGAGACGTGAAATTCGTGCTGGACGGAGACGAATACGAGACAGGAAGCCTGGGTTTAGTATAGTGTCATCGGTGAATGACAAGGTCTCAAGATTTCTGCAGGTAGGTAGAGATGACTATTGAGACATTAGCTCTTTATCACTTTGGTAATATAATTGTAGAATTTGGCATTTCCAACTGCCCTTCTCTATATCTCTCTCTCTCTGTGTCTGTCTCTCTCTATATCTCTCTCTCTCTCTGTCTGTCTCTCTCTGTCATATGCTTTGTTTCCTCTGGAAGTTTCCAGTCCTTAAGTGGCCACAGGTAGAATTTGTTCCCCAAGGCATTTCAAATCCCTTCAAGTTTTAAAGACTTGTTAGAATTGCTAGACTTTTATATGTTAGTTCAGTGCCTGAAAAGTGGAGGACTTGCCCTTAGCCAGCACTGAAAAGTGAGGGACTCTCTCTTAGCCAGTACTGAATAGTGAGGGACACTCTCTTAGCCAGTACTGAATAGTGAGGGACACTCTCGTAGCATGCACTGAAAAGTGAAGGAATGATCACTGACAAATAAGTGTTAAAAGAACGAGCACCTCGGCAAGCACAGAACGTGAGGCATGAGAAAGGGGAAGATGGAAATGTACCATCACAGAAATTCATAATATATTGAAAGTGTAATGTGGATGAGGAGATATAAAAGTTCACTCGGTGGATTTGCAGTCAGTGTTTGTGAAAGGAAAGGTACCCATTTGATTCATCTCTTAAGCTAAGAGGGGGGCCAATTAATCCATGGATGATTAGACACAGATCTGCTCCCATGGTAAAGTGATACCAGTCACTCAATCTACAGTACACCTATGGAAGACCAAGGTCAATCAATCTACAGTACACCTATGGATGAATGAGGTGAACCAATTTAATCATTGGTAACTGAAATCCACCGATCCCCCACGTGAAACAGAGATAAGTCGGTCTACAGAACAGTACTCCAATGGACAAACTAAGGCCAGTTGGTCTATCGCCACCATAATTTTTTTAGTCTAACAATCTATTGCGTACATTGTTCAGTAATTTGGGCACACCTTTATTACAGGTGTGCCCAAGTTGTTTTATTTTATTCTACTGTAATGTTAAAGCTAGTGTCTGCTGTATGCAACTGTGAAGCCCTTTGACTCGTATAACAGTTTAATGTGCTGGTTGATGGAAGACATTAAAAAGTTGCCGTTTAGTGATACTCGTGGGTGTCTTACCTGAAGAGGGTTTCCAGGGTTGTCCTATTCCCCCGAACTCAACTTGGCCTTGGATCAGGCTCTTAAAATGAACTTAGGGTTTGGTAACGACTGTTGATGTAATTTTTGGAGATCATTGTTGTTTTCAGATTCTCATGTTAGAATCAAGCTCACAAGAGGAGCCGGTCGGCCAATTGGACAGCACACTGGACTTGTGATCCTGTGGTCCCGGGTTCGATCCCGGGCGGCGGCGAGAAGCAATGGGCAGAGTTTTTCACCCTATGCCCCTGTTACCTAGCAGTAAAATAGGTACCTGGGTGTTAGTCAGCTGTCACGGGCTGCTTTCTGGGGGTGGAGGCCTGGTCGAGGACCGGGCCGCGGGGACACTAAAGCCCCGAAATCATCTCAAGATAACATGTGGGCTCTGGTAAATGTGGTTTTAGACTATTACAGTAAAATGTTTTGTATCGACTGTACTCTGGTCTAAATTTTGGGAATCTTTATTTCCATTTGGTAGTTGATCATTCACGTTATGCTTCAATAAACTGTAGATCCTATTTCAGGGTATTCTTGGTGCAGTGTTCAGAGTGTAGTGTGTGTTCTTGTTACTGTCATTTTAGAGTTTTTACTTAAATCGAGATACATTTTAAGATTAGTTTTGGATTTTCCATACCTTAGTCATGAAAATAATTTATCTGTTGGTAAAATTTTGTTCAGGACTACTCAGGATTGATAGGAGGAGGAATATGCTGTAGTATTGAACATACAACCAGATATTCTCCAAAAAATATTATATATATCATGCTATTGTGATTTTAGTGTGCAACCAGATAATTTTGGCAATGGATACGATATGAGATAAGCTGTACGATAACAGATATATTTTAGACCGACAATGGAACCTGTCACTTAAATTCAGCTTACAATGTTCAGGATAAGTATTATGAACTGTTCATAACTGGCATGTGTTACTAAACAGTGAAGTGAGTTGAGTGGATAGGTTGAGAAATCATGAAATATGGAGGCAATTGACGTAACCAGTGATTGCCCATAGACAGAGTACAATAGTTGACACAGATGTGTAGTGAGAGGATATTTTGCACATTCAGACACTGTACTTTACTTAATTTAACTTGAAAGGAAGTTAGAGAATACCTGGAAGTAAGATTGTACTCGCCTAATTGTGCTTGCGGGGGTTGAGCTCTGGCTCTTTGGTCCTGCCTCTCAACCGTCAATCAACAGCTGTACAGGTTCCTGAGCCTATTGGGCTCATCATATCTACACTTGAAACTGTGCATGGAGTCAGCCTCCACATCACTTTTTAATGCATTCATAATACTGTGAGGAAGTATTCACAGTACATAATACTGTGAGGAAGAGATAGCGTCAACTGTAAAGTTTCCTGTTGCTTGCAGGTGGCTGTGCATTGATTTTTTTGAAGTGTTGAGCACTTCATAACTTCACTTCTCTATGTACAGTATGTCTGTGGCTACTGTAGCCATTAGACTGTTCTCCCACTATGCAGTAGGATCCTAAGCAGTCTCCATGCTTTAATATTTCCTGCCATGATTATCTAATGCTTCATCCTTTATTATTTTTTAATACAGTATTCCCACTATAGAGGTACTTATAGGTGTCGCCAGATTCATTTTTACTAGCTGTGATATACTGTACATAAGAAACACCTTTGTGTATCGGTTGAATCTGTCAACAAATGTGTGTGTGGTTGTGCAGAGAATGTGAGGGGAAAGGGGCTGTGTTTGACAGTTTGGTCATTCCGAGGTCAGTGTTGTTTCCGATTCATGTAGTAGACCCCTGGGGTCAAGTTTTAGAGCCATTTTAATACATTGTCAAGGGATAATGCTATCCTTTAGTGTATGGATGAATGACAATGGTGCGACATTGTCCCCGTGGCGTGGTGGTAAGACGCTCGCCTGGCATTTTGCAAGCGCTTTGTCCTGGGTTTGTATCCTGGCCGGGGAGGATTTATTGGGCACAAATCTTTAACTGTAGCCTCTGTTTAACCCAACAGTAAAATGGGTACCTGGTTGTTAAATGATTTGGCGGGGTCGTATTCCGGGAAATAGTATGATTAAGGACTTGGCCAAAATGCTATGCGTGCTAGTGGCTGTACTGTACAAGACAGTAAGAACTTTTTTGTGTGTGTGTGTAAAAAATGAATGTGAATAGTTGAAGAATTGTATCAGTACAATTGAACCATCTTCCCCAACCCACTTTTCTGGCCTTGTGAGAGCAATTGCGTGCAGTCAGGGAGATGGTATGTGTTCTCGAGACTTCTTACATCTTGTCCACTGTTGAGGGCAGGAGGTAATTTCCTAATCTTGTAATTACAGTACAATTAAGTAAATTTATATTGGTATATCATTGCTGAGGATACAAAGTCTGGCATATCAAGGTCTCTTAGGCAAGGGTGAGACTGTCTTTATGGTTGTTTATCTAGTTACAAGACAGATTCGGCTGTGTAACACGAGTGACATAGACACCATCCAGCGAGCCATGCCAAAGCTGTGATAAGCATCTTTAAAAAAACTCTCCCTTACACCGAATTGCTTAAAAATTGTCATTGGTTCTATTGTATAATTACTCATTTAAAATTTCACCTTTGTGGTCAAATGACTTGTATGCATATACCAGTACCAGTACAATATATAGACTGCTAGTGATGACTGGTAATCCCTTCACCAGACTACTATATAATTTGTGAAGCTACTTTCACACCCGCTCACTGTCTCCTTTTCTTCTTGATTCTGCATCACCAGGTTGTACCTTCTACTTGAACCTCAACTTGCCTTCTACTTATTCACTTGTATAGTACCTGATCAATCTTTCCATTCCCTGTACGATATCTTACTGTTCATATCATTACAGTAGATATGCAAGCAAGGGGATACCTTTCTCGGTTGTCATGTGTTCAAACTGTATCTGGTTTTCTGTACGGCATCCGAGCCTAAATCCTGCCACAATAATAATGCATTTTCAACACTATTCTGTAGATGTTAAATTTACTGTTCAGGATCCGAGGCAGTCCGAGCTCCGCCTGAGGCCTATGACGGATAAAGACAGAGACCAGCTGAATCATCTGGCCGACTTGTATTCTCTCACCATACGTAGCAGCGATGACCAAACCGCTCCCATACTCACCAAGACCAGGTGTGTGGCTCAGCGTAGGATTTCTGCACGGTAAATATTACAAATCAAGAATTAGAGCAGTACAAATGACCTGTGTGAATAGTATGTTTGCTGTTAGCAGAATGTCATGGAGGGATGTGAAGTGCACAAGTCAATAGTGTAGAATGAGAACATAGAGATGATTTGTGCATGTTGATCGAATTAGATGATGGTAGTGGTGAAGACAGTGAATTTGAGGATGGAGGGTGGGGAGGGAGTTGGTATGGTGTAGTGTACAAATGTGAGGAAACAAGGATTGAGTGATATAACAGACTGGATATGATATAAAGGACAAAGCTGGATGGAAGTTGTTTGTAATGTATGGAAAGACTGTATGTGTTTGTTACTGGCTATGGTATTGTGTGTGAGAATTCACGAGGAACTGTGTTTACCTGGTTTTATGAAGCAGTAGGGTGTTATCTTGAGGTTATCTTGAGATGATTTCGGGGCTTTAGTGTCCCCGCGGCCCGGTCCTCGACCAGGCCTCCACCCCCAGGAAGCAGCCCGTGACAGCTGACTAACTCCCAGGTACCTATTTACTGCTAGGTAACAGGGGCATTCAGGGTGAAAGAAACTTTGCCCATTTGTTTCTGCCTCGTGCGGGAATCGAACCCGCGCCACAGAATTACGAGTCCTGCGCGCTATCCACCAGGCTACGAGGCCCCTAAGATGTGTTGCTGTGGCTAATTGCACAAGTATTGTTGTGCATGTTTATTCATGATTCTATTTAGTGTGAATGATACAGCATAATAAATGGACAATTATGTTTGTTTAATATCTGATGTTTACTTGCTGTATTGTTGTCTTCTCCTCTGGACTGCCTGCCTTCCAATGCCATGAAAGTGGGAGAATGGGGTAATGATGTAATGTAAATATTTAGCTAGTTATGCAGTGTTTTATCTTCATAATAGCAGTAGAATGTTGATTAACATGAACCATAGGTGTACATCAGATGTACCATAAATATATACAGTATTTAAATATCTTGGTGCAGCCTTTGAAGAATAGTTAAATTCAACATGCAAGAAATTAGTAACACTTTTGTTTCACAAGGAAGCTAAGATGCATCATCCGATTGCTATTAATAAACAATCATATATTCATTGCTGTCATGCATGTTCTACTAAAAATACACTTCTGTTTTTGCATCTGTTCTCTAGAGAATTGATATGTGAATATTTTGACGCCAAATTTATATTTATAAATAACTTTGAAAGTGTAAAATGACCGTAAACATTTTTTTTTGGTCGGTGAGTGGCCTGAGGAGCCTAGAACGCTTAGTCAGGAATGGCAGAGTAACTGAACCCCAAAGTGTTAAGAAAATAAGGGGGTGACATGAGACATTTGTAGTGGGCTGGTATTGGTCTTAATGAATGAAGAGTGATTAGAATGCGTTATAAGACTGAAGAGAGATTGCTAATGAGTAGATCATGATACAGTATATTGAAGTATGATACAGTAATGTGTGCATTATAACATGTAGAACTGAAGTGAGTTAATGATGTACTGTATCATGGTACAGGGTATAAATTGGATAAGTTTAGATTTAGGAAAGACTTGGGTAAATACTGGTTCAGTAACAGGGTTGTTGATTTGTGGAACCAATTGCCGCGTAACGTGGTGGATGTGGGGTCCCTCGATTGTTTCAAGCGTGGGTTGGACATGTATATGAGTGGGATTGGGTGGTTATAGATAGGAGCTGCCTCGTATGGGCCAATAGGCCTTCTGCAGTTACCTTTGTTCTTATGTTAGTCAGTCACGTGCTTTATGAACCCCTGTTATCCGATTGGGGGTTTGTTCGAATAAAAAAAAGTTTGGTAACTGGTAGGGCAGGCAGGCAGTCTGAATAAAATGTGCAATAAAGATGGAACAAGTTTGCCCAGTGATCGTACACAGCACCACTTGGGAGCAGTGTTCATACACTAATTGATGGCTCGGAAGCTTTCAACTCTGCCATGGCATTAGTTGAGTGCATGGTAAAAAGCAATCTGCTGAGGTTATCTGATCACCATTAATTGTCAACCCAACACTATAATCATCCACCACCACCTTTTCTATCTGAATAACTTTAATATAGTTGATGGAGCATTATTAACAAGCAGATCAGAACATATATTGGCAAGTACAAACAAAACAGTTGAATTTCTGCTGCAGAATTGACAATTTTTTCCCCTAGCTTTTCAGGATGATTAACTAATTTGAATACGTTATCCATGCAGTCTCGGTCCCAAGGGGTTCAGATAGCACATGGCTGACTGTACTAGGGAAATGCCAATATAGCTAATTTATCATATACAGTACTGAAGTTTAAGTGAAAGGGGTGATGGGTATAATATTAAAATCATAATTTCTACATCTAGTTATTGTGTATGCAAAGGTCAGCAAGGGGACATGAAGCTTTCCTTCTGTGGTTTAATGCTGTTCTGTTTAGTAGTAATACTGTTAATATCCACTATTTACTTACATGAGATTGGAAATTACTTTGGGGCTTGAAAACATGTTAAAATGTATTCATCAAAAGCATGGCTTAACTCTTCGTCCTTTGTGTCTTCAGAAGTAAGATTTACAAGTATATGGTCATGGAAGCAGCCACCACTTACAGTACTGTATGTAAACATTGACATACATCTTGCCTCTCTATGTGGCAGCATCAATTTGTAAATTTGACATGTTAAAATGACCATCTTGCCCTCAGGAATACTATCACCAAGCAGAGGCTGGAAGCAGATGGTGAAGCGTTGGCCTCCTTCCCAGGTGGTTTGCCAGTACCCGTTAGTGACTTGAAGCGCCGCAGACGGACGCCACCATTGCCACCCAATAACGTGACTGAGGGCAGCAATGACTCGGTCGAGAGCATAACCAATAGTACGGGTTTATCCGGTGAGTGCAATTTTTTAATTTCATCTAAAGCTGTTTACTAACTTGATTTAGGAATTTACCAGAAATTTATCACATCTCTACCTTTGTTATTCACCTCACTCATTAGGTTATTGTTGGTATTACTGTAATTAAGCCTATGCAAAACAGACCATTCATTTTCACATACAGTACAGCATTACAAAATTTACACTATATATTCCTGGTTGTAGAATATCTAACAGATTTCTCTCATGTATCTTATAATTAATCTGAACCAATGTGTGTCTTCCTGTCCTGACTTTAGGAAATGGGGGGGGGGGTGGCAAATTTCTATATTGAAAATGCAAATTTAGTGAAATATTTTAGAGGCATGGAACAATAGTCAGAAGTTAATATTTTTTCTGTATAGAGAATCACTGTACCTTTAGAACAGCAATATCTATTTGTTCAGAAACAGGTTCTTCGTAAGTTCAACATGTTCTATTTGTAAAATTTGTCCCTCACAGGGGTGAAGCAATTATTTTAAAGGGTATTAGGTCAACAAACAGTAGCCATGTCCTGTTTATCTGTGCCATAGTTCTTGAGGCTGATGCTATTGGCTTTGGCCTCTGGGGGTCGGGTAGGGGAGCTTCATGCTCTCCTCCGGCGCAGGGGTTTCTGCTCTTTTGGTCGTGGTGATAGTTTTTTGTTCGTTTGCAGCCGTCTCCTTCTTTTCTGGCGAAGAATGAGACTGCTGCGTTCCGGAGGGGTCCATGGGTGGTTGATGCTTGGTTGGTCAGGCCGGGGGTGCATCATGTTTTGTGTCCGGTTGCGGCGCTTCGCCGTTATTTGCGCGCCACAGCTTCTGTGTCCTGGGACGCGCTGTGGGTTGATCCGGTTTCCCTTCTTCCCTGTTCGCGGGTTCGGGTCTCTCAGGTCGTCCGCAGGGTTATTAGGTCTAGCCAGCCTGCGGTCTATCCCCGTGCCCATGACGTTCGTAAGTTCGCGGCTCTTGCTGCCGTCTTTGGGAATATGTCTTGGTCTGATATTCGGGCGCGGGGATTTTGGCGGTCGAACAGGGTCCTGGCTGCTCGTTACCTTGTGAATGTCCCTGGCCCTCGTCGGGCCTGTGTTGCTTTGGGTCGGCGGTTGCAGCCAGTTGTCTCGGCTTCGAGTTGAGGGGTGAGCGACGACCGCCTCCCGGGTAAGTCCCTCTTTTTCTGTCTGTGGGTAGTTAGCTCCGGGGAGCCGACGGGGCTCCCCCCAGAAAACCAGCGTTGAATGTAATGAAACGCCATTTTCTGGTGAGTCCCGGAGGCTCCCCGGCATCCCTCCCTCCCTCCGGTCGGCGGTTTTTCGCGTTTTTGACATCCAGCCTCAAGAACTGAGGTGTGGGTAGCCGGCGCGGGGGTCTGGGGCTCCCCCTTCCCCCTCCCGGGGAGGGGGGAGCTGCGCAGACAGCGGCGCGGCAGTGTGTGACGTCACACTAATTTGCTTGTTTTCGGTTGGGGAGTTCTATCCACTAGTTCGGTATTAGGTAGCAATTTTAACCAGAATAGGGGTTTGTTTTGGGGCGCTTACCTTTCTGGGTGCCTGTTCCGGTCGATGGCAGACATAGAATGCTTCCAACTACACGGGGGCTTCTATAGGCCATTGCTCCCCTTGCCTCTCTGAGGGGGCCCGGTTCTGGCCGTGGTCCCCGGTAGGCCTAAGAACTCCATACACATGACTGATGCCAAAGTCTGACATTAGCATATCAGCCTGGGATAGCTCCGGGGAGCCTCCGGGACTCACCCAGAAAATGGCGTTTCATTACATTCAACGCTGGTTTTTTTCCACCCTATGCCTTAATAATTGAATTTTTCAGGTACTGCATATCGTCCACCAGTGCCTAGTGTTAGTTGGGACGATGATATTGGCGACTGTTGCGCCGATTCACTCTCGGAGCGGCCGCAGACGGACGCCACCATTGCCACCCAATAACGTGACCGAGGGCAGCAATGACTCGGTCGAGAGCATAACCAATAGTACGGGTTTATCCGGTGAGTGCAATGTTTTAATTTCATCTAAAGCTGTTTACTAACTTGATTTAGGAATTTACCAGAAATTTATCACATCTCTACCTTTGTTATTCACTTCACTCATTAGGTTATTGTTGGTATAAAATAAATAAAAAATAAATGTTTATTTAGGTAAGGTACATACATACAAGAGATTTTATAAAGTTTGTTGGATTAATAGATAGAGCTAGTACATACAATGCCTAAAGCCACTATTACGCAAAGCGTTTTGGGCAGGAATTACTGTAATTAACCCTATGCAAAACAGACCATTCATTTTCACATACAGTACAGTATTACAAAATTTACACTATATATTCCTGGTTGTAGAATATCTAACAGATTTCTCTCATGTATCTTATACTTAATCTGAACCAATGTGTGTCTTCCTGTCCTGACTTTAGGAAATGGGGGGGGGGGGGGGGAGTGGCAAATTTCTATATTGAAAATGCAAATTTAGTGAAATATTTTAGAGGCATGGAACAATAGTCTAAAGTTTATATTTTTCTGTATAGAGAATCACTGTACCTTTAGAACAGCAACATCTATTTGTTCAGAAACAGGTTCTTCGTAAGTTCAACATGTTATATTTGTAAAATTTGTCCCTCACAGGGGTGAAGCAATTATTTTAAAGGGTATTAGGTCAACAAACAGTAGCCATGTCCTGTTTATCTGTTGTTTTTCTGGGGGGAGCCCCGTCGGCTCCCCGGAGCTATCCCAGGCTGATATGCTAATGTCAGACTTTGGCATCAGTCATGTGTATGGAGTTCTTAGGCCTACCGGGGACCACGGCCAGAACCGGGCCCCCTCAGAGAGGCAAGGGGAGCAATGGCCTATAGAAGCCCCCGTGTAGTTGGAAGCATTCTATGTCTGCCATGGACCGGAACAGGCACCCAGAAAGGTAAGCGCCCCAAAACAAACCCCTATTCTGGTTAAAATTGCTACCTAATACCGAACTAGTGGATAGAACTCCCCAACCGAAAACAAGCAAATTAGTGTGACGTCACACACTGCCGCGCCGCTGTCTGCGCAGCTCCCCCCTCCCCGGGAGGGGGAAGGGGGAGCCCCAGACCCCCCGCGCCGGCTACCCACACCTCAGTTCTTGAGGCTGATGCTATTGGCTTTGGCCTCTGGGGGTCGGGTAGGGGAGCTTCATGCTCTCCTCCGGCGCAGGGGTTTCTGCTCTTTTGGTCGTGGTGATAGTTTTGTTCGTTTGCAGCCGTCTCCTTCTTTTCTGGCGAAGAATGAGACTGCTGCGTTCCGGAGGGGTCCATGGGTGGTTGATGCTTGGTTGGTCAGGCCGGGGGTGCATCATGTTTTGTGTCCGGTTGCGGCGCTTCGCCGTTATTTGCGCGCCACAGCTTCTGTGTCCTGGGACGCGCTGTGGGTTGATCCGGTTTCCCTTCTTCCCTGTTCGCGGGTTCGGGTCTCTCAGGTCGTCCGCAGGGTTATTAGGTCTAGCCAGCCTGCGGTCTATCCCCGTGCCCATGACGTTCGTAAGTTCGCGGCTCTTGCTGCCGTCTTTGGGAATATGTCTTGGTCTGATATTCGGGCGCGGGGATTTTGGCGGTCGAACAGGGTCCTGGCTGCTCGTTACCTTGTGAATGTCCCTGGCCCTCGTCGGGCCTGTGTTGCTTTGGGTCGGCGGTTGCAGCCAGTTGTCTCGGCTTCGAGTTGAGGGGTGAGCGACGACCGCCTCCCGGGTAAGTCCCTCTTTTTCTGTCTGTGGGTAGTTAGCTCCGGGGAGCCGACGGGGCTCCCCCCAGAAAACCAGCGTTGAATGTAATGAAACGCCATTTTCTGGGTGAGTCCCGGAGGCTCCCCGGCATCCCTCCCTCCCTCCGGTCGGCGGTTTTTCGCGTTTTTGACATCCAGCCTCAAGAACTGAGGTGTGGGTAGCCGGCGCGGGGGGTCTGGGGCTCCCCCTTCCCCCTCCCGGGGAGGGGGGAGCTGCGCAGACAGCGGCGCGGCAGTGTGTGACGTCACACTAATTTGCTTGTTTTCGGTTGGGGAGTTCTATCCACTAGTTCGGTATTAGGTAGCAATTTTAACCAGAATAGGGGTTTGTTTTGGGGCGCTTACCTTTCTGGGTGCCTGTTCCGGTCGATGGCAGACATAGAATGCTTCCAACTACACGGGGGCTTCTATAGGCCATTGCTCCCCTTGCCTCTCTGAGGGGGCCCGGTTCTGGCCGTGGTCCCCGGTAGGCCTAAGAACTCCATACACATGACTGATGCCAAAGTCTGACATTAGCATATCAGCCTGGGATAGCTCCGGGGAGCCTCCGGGACTCACCCAGAAAATGGCGTTTCATTACATTGCTTTTTTTCCACCCTATGCCTTAATACTTGAATTTTTCAGGTACTGCATATCGTCCACCAGTGCCTAGTGTTAGTTGGGACGATGATATTGGCGACTGTTGCGCCGATTCACTCTCGGAGCGCTTGGCTGATTCCGAGCCTGATCCACTTCCCTCCCCTACATCTCTTGGCCTTCATGATTGTACTTTGTAAATTGTATTTCGCAATGCTGTCACACCTCACTGCCATGGTTCGTTGTATCTGCGCATTTCGTATAATTCTGAAATGCTCATGTGTAATACAGTACCTTCATAACCATTCATTAATATTTAATGATGGAAAAGCTTTTAAATCATCCTTAATAGTCACTCATTTCAGTACAGTACTTCTATGTTGTCAGTGTGCTACAGTACTTGTGTTAACAAAATAATTTAACAGTACAGTATTTTCAGTTATGGATGAAAATAACTTTTCTTCCTTGGAAAAACTGCCAATTTATATTACAATTTGAAAGTAAAGTCTTGCTTTTTCCTTAAAGGTAATAAAAGGACCCCTTGAATATTAAGTAAAATAATTGTAAACCACTACTACAGTCTATCCCATATACAGTAATGTAAACCGCTTGTGATTATTCAATACAATTTTGCATTTCATTCATAACCAAGTATGTCTGGCAATACCCTAATTGTTCTCTTGATAAGTTGACAGTTTTTATTAATTCATATTTATGATGTAGCTATACTGTCATTGTAAAGTAATGGGAAATAAGCAAGATATAAAAATAATGAAAATCAAAGAATAGTGTACAGTAGATTCCAAATTAAATGACACTCGATCTGCCCTTAACTTAAATGCACTGGAAGGATTCTGTTCTCGGAGTATAATTGTTATTAGTTACTATGAAAAGTAACGGAATATTACTCACTTCTTGTGGAGCAATGCCATGTATTACCTTGATTGAAATTCAAATTGATTTCCTTACAATCAAATCAAATCAAAATATTTCAGTATGTACTTTTTTCAAATGGTTTTGGGATTAAAATATGCACAAAAGCATGTTCTTTTATAATTGTACTAAATGCATGTAATACTTTTTGTATACATTTGCTATTTTTTCATTTTTTGTTTAGATTGCAAACAATAGCAAACTCCTCACATGCAACAGAACCCTGGTTACTAGAGAAGGATTTGAGTGCAAATCTGGCCATTCCAGCAGGAGTATTCTGTATTGATGTGAATGTACAGCAATGACAATTCCAAGCAGCACATTACAAGATTCGGGAATAAATTCTCCCTTTTAACTTATAGGTACCAATAAAGATACATTTTTTAACAGGGTAAAAGTGAATGAAATTATGCACAGTCATTACTGAGGGTCATACACCAGACATGATATCATAACAAGAATTGATTACATCATTACCAGGCAAAGTGCACTAAGTAACACAGTTAAGTATTATCAATTGCTGATACATTTGGGATAGTGCTTGTTGTTGTTATAGATTCAGCTACCGGGAACAAAAAGTTCCAAGTAGCACGGGCTATGGTGAGCTCGTAGTGGACTTGCCTGGCACAAGGAGTGAAGCTGTAACTGGATAGTGCTTGTATAATCAGCAGTCACGAAGTTACCTTCCACCACTCTAGAAAACACCATGTGTATTTTTGTTACCCATCTCAGGATTAGAGGACTACATAAAATGTGGTGTAATTATCCATTTTAATTTTCACTTTTATTCTGATGCCTAAACTAAAATTTATATTATACATATAATATATATATACAGTATAATATATTCTCTTACTCGGCCCATCCTAAAATGAAATTACTTAGAGTAACAATGTGGTTGATCGTACGAATATGGTCGTGAAGGACCAATATCAAAGTAGACACTTCAATTACTGTATTGGCAGCACTTTTTGATAATTACTTACTGTGTTGATTTTGGATAAACTGGAAACTGGAATCCATTTTTCTATTTGTTGCTAATGAAACCTAAATAAACCTAATCATTCTATCTTGAGGTCATCTTGATGATTTCAGGCCTTAGCGGCCCAGTCCTCAACCAGGCCTCCTTTTTGTTACCCCCAGGAAGCAGCCCGGAGCAGCTGTCCAACTCCCAGGTACCTATTTACTGCTATTAGACTCCTAGGTCTAATATGCACTACCAGAGGCCTAATATAGTACATAATGTGCTATACTAGGCCTAGGAATATTTAAGTTTGGGTTTTAGCTTCATTTTTTTTTTGACTTGTCAAATCAAAAGTACTGAATTCTATTTTCCATTTGTCCATCATGTCGATATTTGTATGATCATCCAATTTTCAATTTTTCTTTATTATGCACCTCATACCCATCCCATGGGCGGTGGGGGTAAAGGGTTACAGAGGCACATAATTGGTTCGGGAACTGAACCCCCCTAGTTCGTTTAGCTAAGCAAATAACAATCTTTTGACGTTAGCCAGTTACAGAAAGTACTGTACCTTGTTATCAGGAAGATGGATTGAGAGAGAGAGAGATTATATATGTATATAAAATATACACACACACACGGTATGTATAAATATTTATTTAGACTACAGTAAACCTTTAGTGTCACTTGCATTGGAATGATTAGGAATTAAACGGCATTATTTCTCGATCACATCAAAGGGGAGCTCTAACACTCCCACCAACTTTTATAACATATGGTTGCTAGATAGAAAAAATACACAATTACCGTCATAGGTGTAAGAAAAAATACACAATTACCGTCATAGGTGTAAGAAAAAATACACAATTACCGTCATAGGTGTACTAGGCTCTAGGAGGCTAGTTGTCTGACATTTTATGGCAGGTTGTATATATGTAAATTCCATTTCATTACAAAGTAATATATTTATATATACAGTATATTTATATATTTATAAGCTAGGGTAACCCATGCAACGAGGTACTGCATAATTAATAAGTCTGTGGTTAAGGGCACGTTTTTCATTTCTTAAAATTGGTCAATGTAATTTTGAATATTTTTTGTAACTTCTTGTAAAAACTTATATTTAGATTTAATCAATTAAATGCAGTTTATACTATATTTGAATGGCATTATTGACTGCAGTCATATATTTGTGAGCCTTTCACTTTTAAGACACATTGTACCAGTTGGAAATAGTACTGTAGTAACAATTACTTAATATACTTTGAAATAGCACCAAACACCACTGTTCTTGGTTTTATAAGTTTAAAATAGAATTGCCACTAATTCAAGATGCAGTGCAAGAAATTATAAATTGCTGTGTATTTCCCACTTGCATTAGTATTTGATATCAAAGTTGTTGCGTCAGTGACCCAGTTGTGATCTTAATAATTTGACATAGAACATTTTTCATTGGGAAATGAGAATTATTTAAGTTTACGCAGGAAACTTTATCACTGTTCAGTGCTGTGAAATTATATATCGGAATGAAGTTACCAGTAGTAATGTGGGTCAATAGTACAATTGTTAAGATAATGGACTTTAGGCTTATGTAAATCAAGGTTAGAATTTTTGCATTAATCCATGTGTGTGCGAATACATGTATATATTTTAACATTTTGTTAATTGGAGGTTTGCCGTATATAACAAGTGTGTTAAATGTTCATTTATTTATTTATATGTAGATTAAAGTACAGTAATGTTATTTACTTGGTGTGTTAATTTAAAAAAAACAAGTACAGATTGAAAATACACTAGTTAGTTCTGACGATTACAGTATTTAATTTCGACTAATATTTGTTAAAAAATGAAAGATGTGACTGAAATCATATTTAATATGAAATTTGTATGTATAAGCAAGACTGGTATGTTTGTGGTCATCGGTACTTTTCCCGCACATTCCTATAAGATAAGTCAATCATTCGCCTTCATCACTTGTTTACTCCTCGTTCATACTCTGTTATGCTTTCCATAACCAGTGAATTTTGTCACGAGATGACACGATCTTCTCCCACTTGATCTGTCATCTTTAACACTGTCAACATGTAAAGTCAACCTGTTTGGCACCACTGTTATTACCTGGTTGATGGGGTTCTGGGAGTTCTTCTACTCCTCAAGCCCGGCCTGAGGCCAGGCTTGACTTGTGAGAGTTTGGTCCACCAGGCTGTTGCTTGGAGCGGCCCGCAGGCCCACATACCCACCACAGCCCGGTTGGTCCGGCACTCCTTGGAGGAATAAATCGGGTCATGTGTTCAGCACCCAGTCTTAACATTGTCATCTCTCTACTGCATTTGCCAGTTTTGTTTACATTCTTTGTATATGTTGGCTTATGTTTAAGCCCTGGGAGGCACAGCCAGTAACCAAAGAAACTATTTACAATTTTGTCCACTAACTAGAGAAGGGAGGTTAAACATAAATCCTGTTGATTGGCCTGTTGGCTTATAGCTGTGATCTGATCTGATACAACACACAAGGCTGTAATTATGTATTTTAAGAAATTCATAGCCTTCCTGGTTTGGTGCCTTCTTTTGATAATTACTTACTTCCTGGGGGTACTTACCCCGGTACTGCACTCATTTAATTCTTTCCTACACTGGTCTTCTTTCCAAGTACAGTATCCACAAATACATTAGTGCTATGTTCAACCTATATTTTTTTTCTGCAAACACATTACTTGTAAGTTTGTCGTGGTGTCCTGCACAGCACACTTCAACACCATTAAAGTGATGTATTCTTTGTTATGAGAGGGTGGATCATTCACAGGCTTGCATCGCTAATAACACTTGGGGGCTGATCAATTCCTGTATTTATTTGCATAATGGTCTTGTGTGTTGCTGATTAGTGATGTATTAACAGTGTAAGCCCCAGCCTTTGTGCCCTTAATATTGAATGTGTAATAATTGATCATGTCCCACAGTTTGACAAAATGCCTTAATTATATTTGTTAAAGATAACATCTTTGAGAGCGCTATCAATGTCTGGTCTGTCGTGCTATCATCTCTATATATTGATATACCAAGGTAAATGTTTAAAAATGAAAAATAATGGATAGAACTAACCGACTTGGGGGGGGAAAAAAAAGTACCCAGTATTATTTATGCTTTGATGTGTTGTACACTATTTTTTATAGCCATTTTGCTGTGTGGTATATTTTTCTTTTGCTATTTTCAGAAATTATGTAGAGCTGTTAGGGATGAGCCGTACATATCTCGGTTAGCAGAAAGTGTTTTTCATAACTTTTTCCATTATATTTGTGGTGTAAACATGTAGTTTTGGGTCATTGTAAAGGTAAATAACTTAAATAATTGCCAACAAATACACTTTAAAACTGATTTGAGTTTTTTCTGACCACATCAGAGGTCATAAATGTACAAATGAAACATTAATCAGGGTATTTTTAAATACTGTATTAAATTATACTCTTGTGTAAACAAATCCCTTATAAAATGGCACAATGTTTCCAGACAGTAGAACATACATTTTCTTGGTCATTCATAGGTTAATTGTTCCTAATATATTTGTTGTACAGTATATTCGAGCTAAATAGTTTGTGAATTATTTATGATAGTTTAAAATATACAATTTTGAAAATGGCACTTTTATTAATCCACTTGGAATCTTCTTCAATAGAGACTGCAGCCTCTACACCTGCCAAAAGAACTCCCAACTATGTAAATAAATGATTGAATTCTCAAGAATTATCAAAAGAAGGTGCCAAGCTGGGGAGACTTATGTAGCACCGTTAAAGTTGCATAATGTTCAAAGGGCACTAGACATCGCCAAGAATGCAAATGAAGAGAACAAAAGTGTATAAGGCGAGCAATATCAAAGATATCTGATGCACCAAGGATTCTATCGAGGGACAAATGACTGCAAGGGATGGATGGGAAGCAAGACACATACAGTACTTGAATGTCCTGGAAGTAGGGACATTCAACAAGGATATATGCAACTTTAAGAGGGACTGTAGTTCGGACAATAAGCAGCAGGAAGGGAGCTCCATTAAGTACCCATGAGTTAAATGCATATGGCAAATACGTAACCTTGCCAGAGCCGTTCCCAACTGCTGGTTATGGTGGTAAGGGGGAAGGCCAAGGGGACAGGCTACCCTTAAGAGTGCGCAGTTTGTTACCAGCAACAGAAGACCAATGACCCTGCCAATGGGCATGGATTGAGGAATGAATAACTGGGTAGAATGAATAACTGAGTGAACTGCCACATCCAGCCAGCCCTCCCTCCCTCGTTCCTCCTCCCACAATACAGTTATTGTTTTTATTACTCTATTTACACACATTATTAATAAGTATCTACATGTTTTATTCACCATAACTATGCAACTAAGCTGGTACAGTATTGTGTCCAAACAGCACAGTTACCGCCACACACTGCATGACAAGTCACACAGCAGATAACGATGTTACGAGTACGATGCCACCTCCCTCACCAAAATGGCTCCTCCCAACATACTCCTGTTGCTGTTATTACACTATATACACATTATATGTAAGTATATCTACATTTGTGTTCACCATAGCAAACCAGTAAGCTAGCATGGTGAGCCCAAACAAGAGTGGCTGCCACACACAGTGACGCTACCTTGATTCCCTCCCTCCTCACCAAAATTCCTCCTCCCCAATACTACGCACAGTGCTAATTATCACCACAATCCTGGTCACTAAATCCTGTAAATGAATAATTGACAGCAAGTTTATTTTGCAAAGGAACATAAGAAGTCGTTTGAAGATTCCTAGACGGATGAAATAATGCTGTGGTGCTGTGGCTAGCGCTGTGAACATCTTGAACAGCATTGATTCACTTATATTTGAACATTGTACACAGTCATTATTACACTCAGGCTCTTCTGTAATACTATCATGGCTAAATAACACCAGTTACATATATATTTTGACATTATTAGGCGATGCTGTGGTGCATCGCAAGCTGATGCTTGATGCTGCAACCTGAACAGCAGTGCTGTGAGCTCATGCTGCATGTGCCAGCCTTGGTTGCTCAGTACTGAGGCTCTTACACCCAGAAATGTTGCCCACGATTTAAAAAAAAAATGGTGTCTGTTTACAAGAGCCCTGAGGAAGCTGATGTGAACCCCATGTAGCCGCAGGAGTTTTGAATACTCTATACCCATAAGATCCCTGAGGCGCGTTGCGCACCATGGTTAAACATCCAACTCGTATAATTTTATGACCAGAAAAAGGTAATTTTGCTTCCAAACTATGGCTCAGAGTCGGCAGTGTACCAGAGCCCGTCTATTACATTATCCAGGGACACATGCTTATGTATATTTTTTCACTTTTCCTTTTTTCCATCATATTACATTATGTATATACTGTACAGTAAGGCTAAATAAAAAAAATTTGGGATTGCATTCAACTCACTTTTATAAATAATGAATCAAAAAAAGGTCATCAAAAATATGAAACTACATTTATACCACACAATATTATTTCACAGCAAAAGACTATGGTGTCAAATGTAAAAAAAGCAAAGCTATTGTCTATTAAAGGATACTCCATCATGTCAATAGAGATGGCATACTATATATGGCAAAGTTAACCTGTACTCAAAAATACATTTAAACTTATATACAGAACAGTACACTAAGTCAATAGAAAAATATTTTTGATATATACAACTATACTCTACTGTGTAGCCGTTTCAACATTTGTTATTCTTCCTATACTCCTCCATAATACTGAACCTGGCTTACTATTACTATTATTATTATTATTATTACTGTGGTGGAGTGATACAAGCTCCGAGCCCAATGCTGGAATGTGTGGTCACGCGGTGCACACAACGACCGATCTAGGTAATTTGCTACTTTCCATATACAACTCGTGAACCGAGAACCATGTATATGTTTTAAAATTGCTATCTCCTGTTATTATGGATATAAATAATCATAATTTAAAAACTAAAGGAATCACAATTACATGATTTTTCTCTAAATAAATGTTATCATTTTTTATGTTGAATAGATCAACAGAGCATTATTCTTCCTTATTCCTTGGGCTTTCATAACATTTATCTATTTTTACACCAGTCTTGTATTTGCTGAAAAAGTCCAAAATAATCATAGTACAGTTAACTAAAACCCACATTCAAGATAAACCAATTAATGCCCTAGTTAACATCAAGGAGTCCTCAGCTTAACTCGATCCTTGCATACAATGTACTTGTCATTTCTTTTTTTCAATTTATTTTTCAGCATAGCGGCTACTTCATTCTCCGATTTCACGTGAGAAGACCCACTATTAGCAGTAAAATACAGAGATAGTATTTTTCTTTGAAGTTTTGTCATTTTCATTCCCTTTTCGGGAGCATCTTGGAGCACCTGTGAAATTGCAACCTTCCACTTGAACCCAGGCGTCTCTCCCACACTACCGTTCACTGTGTTAGCATCACCATTATGATTTTGAGAGTGATTCTCATTCAGTGAGAGATCTTCATCTTCATCACAATGTTTTCTCTTTTTCTTTTTCTGTTTCTCTTGGCAATCTTCAGATGTTGCCTCTGCTTGTTCAGGGTGTTTTTTTCTCTTCTTGGACTCCCCTGCTTCATTAATACTTTTGTCCTCAAGTTTTCTCTTTGATGGTTTTTCAACTACTTCAGTGCTCTCTGAAGTTCTATCCTTCTTTTCCTTTTTTCCTTGCTTTTTCTGCCGTTCCATCTTTTTTTCCTTCTTGCTCATGCTTGATTTATTATCTTGTGCTGTAACATCAGGACAATCACTGCCATTTAGTGTTGCCACTGCAGGGTCATCGGCTGGCTGTGCCTCACCATTCTGACTCGGGGTGTTGCTCTTGTTATTTTTGCTAGCAGCCTCAAAGACCTCCCAAGCCTTATCTACAATATGACTGTGACGGACCCGAGCACTATTGTTCAGAAATCTCTGAAAACACCAAAATGAACAAATTATGAACCAGTTGGCTTGCAGTTACTAATGACTATTGCATCGCTTCCTGCTTTCAGAGCGGGGAGGTAGAACCACATATGAAAACAATGTTGAAGATATTTATAAAATGACACCCATTTATTCACCTTATCTTCCACACTACATAGCATTATTAAGAACCAGAACCACCACCATCTCCTCGCTGCTTCGTGACACTAGGCATACAGTGCTCCTCAAGTTATATACGAACAACTGAAACATGGCCTTCTACTTATCATATCCCATGAACTCCTCACACTCGATTCCTGCTTCTTCACACACACACACACTCCCCATGTCTGCACATCTTAAAGGCCTTCCTCTATCTCATATTCTCTCTCCCTTTCTTATATTCCAATGTCTATATTTTCTCAACATAGTTCCTAGTTATGAAATTTCAAATGCTCTAACTCTTCGATTTTCACATTCATATTCTGCTATCGTCTCAACTACACACAAGAGCTGGACCTACTACAGGTATTACTTCAAGCAGACCACTACCAACAACTATTTCTAATCTTTATTTCCAAACCAGAGCTTTCAAAGCACCAGCCACTTTCCTCCTCTGATACACCATGCTCAACTCTAACTATACAAACTCCTCTTTTAGCAATCGCACATGCCAGACATTATCATCTACACAAATTCCTCTTTTAGCAATCGCACATGCCAGACATTATCATCATCTACCTTTTCTAGCAATTCACCATACATTTCACATACACAGCCCTCCTTCCCCACCCCCAATTAAATGTTTAACAAGTCTATATAGCTGCCTTTCACTCTGCCCTAAAAGAACCATCATCTGCATACAAGACAAGACAACAAAGCACAGGTGAAGGAGAGGAACAGGGCGGATCATTTAAGATGATGATCAGCTGAGTTAAGAGGAAAATCAATACGGAAATACATCATATGGGAAAACACTGAGCAGCCTACAAGGCAAGCTGAGAGCAGCAAAGGAGATTAAAAGCCACAAAAAAAAACCACTCGGGTTGAGTACTGGACAACTAACTTCCAAGAAGCCAGGAATATAACAACAGAAACATCATCTACAGTGGAAGCCACATTTGCAGAAATGCTAAGAAAAATGCCCAGAAGCCATGTGAAGGAAGTGAAGTGGCCATGACAGCAGCCACTTCACAGAAAGCAGCAAGATGCACTAGTCAGCTGTTGAAAAGAGTAAATAGCAGTAGACATAGTAGGTATTTATAAAAAAAAAGAAAAAGAAAAAAAAAAAACTTCAGTCAGGAAGAGTGGAGGACAGATCTGCAGCAACAGGTCCTGAAGGAGGTACAGATGGAGGGGAAGCCAAACAAATTAAAGAAGAGGTTTACAGACTAGATTAGTATAACAAGGACAGTGATCACTTGATAGTATTCACAAACGCAGTCATGAAACAGGACATTCTGTAGACATAAAGTACATAGACTTCTTTAAAACTTCTAATAAGGTACCACCATGCAAGACACACAAACTGAAAGCATGTAGAATAAGTGGTAAAATGTTGGAATCAATGACACAATGGTTTAAAAACAAAAACAAAAAAGCCAAAAGATAGTCCTAACTGGAAAATCTGAGTGGAGTACTGGGATCCAAGGTTCCATCTTGGTGCCAACCCTTTTTTGCAACATACATCAATGACAGAGTGAAAATTACAAACCACACAATCAATTTTACAGACAAACACAAAGCTCAATTGTAAAGTAGGAAGCAAATATGACATTGAGGCCTTGCAAACCTATCTACGTGAACCCCACAAAAGGTCAGAAGACTGTCAAATGATTTTCAACATTGGAAATGCAAGACTTTGCTTGTACGGCATAACAACATATAACTACCATATCAATAACACAGCTATGTAGTATATTAATGAAGAACCTAGGAGTTTTGGTCTACCAGCCATTTAAAGTTGCTCAGCAACTAAAAAAAATCTCAAACCTTAGGAATAATCCATTTTATTCCTAAGGTTTGAAAACCTTAGGAATAAAACTAACCCTAGACTTCCAGCAGTACATATCTCTTGTGCACCCCCATCTGGACAACTCACATTCAGAGTTGTCTCATAAACAGAGACCTCACATTCAGAGTTCTAATAAACAGAGACCTCACATTCAGAGATGTCTCAAACAGAGACCTCACATTCAGAGTTGTCTCATAAAGAGACCTCACATTCAGAGTTGTCTCATAAACAGAGACCTCACATTCAGAGTTGTCTCATGAACAGAGACCTCACATTCAGAGTTGTCTCATGAACAGAGACCTCACATTCAGAGTTGTCTCATAAACAGAGACCTAACATTCAGAGTTGTCTCATAAACAGAGACCTCACATTCAGAGTTGTCTCATGAACAGAGACCTCACATTCAGAGTTGTCTCATAAACAGAGACCTCATATTCAGAGTTGTCTCAAACAGAGACCTCACATTCAGAGTTGTCTCATAAACAGAGACCTCACATTCAGAGTTGTCTCATGAACAGAGACCTCACATTCAGAGTTGTCTCATGAACAGAGACCTCACATTCAGAGTTGTCTCATAAACAGAGACCTCACATTCGAAACGACATATTTGCTTTAGAAAAAATTCAAAGCATGGCAATAAAAATCATCCCAGAACTAATTCAAGTCTCATGCTTACCAGGAACTATTGAGGACCTCAGGATTAACACCATCTTAAACTACACACAATAAAGCTGACTTCTTTGATGCCTTCAAAATACTGAACAAATTGGAAGATATTAATCTAGAATTCTTTTACTCCCACAAGAGGTAACAGATTCAAGCTCAAGAAATCATAATGTAGGAATGAAAATGGGTGTTTTTCAGCCAAAGGGGGTAATAAACCCTTAGAATTGTTAGAAACTCTTAGCCTACACACCAAAGCCAAGAGATAACTGTATTGCTGTAATTCAGGTGGAAAAATTCTCAGGAATAACGGAGAACTTTGACAAGCAACCAGTTTCCTGTACCCTTTGAGGTACAGATGGTGGCCCTTAATGTAAATTTAGGTAAATATTTATCAAACTGATCCTTCAAACTTTCTAGTGAATTCTATTCTACAGTATAATGTTACAGTACTTGGTAACTTTTTTCACAGATCTTAAAACCAATCATATTATGTATTCATAAATTTTAACTTTCTCTGTAAACTTTCCAGAGAATTTACATTCGATAGTATTTTTTGCATAATTTAAGTGGGATCTCACAAGGGCAATAGTTAAAAGAACATTTCTAGTGGTATGACTAGTGCTTCTAGATATTGGGTACCTGTTCTCTTTGCCTAGGCTTAGAATCCTATGCTTCAAACAGCAATGAATCTTAATTGCAATTTTTAATAAATTTTGAGTATTTAGGTCCAACTGGAGCATGTCAAAATCTTTGTGCAAGTTTACTAATGTTGATGTTCAAGTGTGAATATAAATAACTTATAAATATGGTGAACCTATCCACCATGGGACCACTTATCTAGAATGGTCTGGCTAAGTTGGCCCTCCACTTATCCAGAGTGATCACTTGATAGTATTCAATGTGGTAAATAAATAAAGATTATATATATATATATATATAAATAAACAACAACGAGCTTAAACTGGGACAGCAGGGAACACAGTTCAAACTTTCAGTACTCCACAACCAGCTTGGTTAATTAATTCTAAGATAATGTCTCAGAATTAAGACAATTGTAATGCCCACGAGCATTATCAATTTCTTAAATGTGAAAAGATCCACAAAGATAAATATATACATATAGTTTGTTAAGAGTGAATTTGGATAGAGGAGATTAGGTTAAGTTAGACAAGGTCAAGTTACAATTAAGAAAATATTAATGAAAATGTATATATATAGTGACCAAGGGAGTGGGGTAATTTTTGTAAATTGTCTTACCACAAACTTTTCCTTTTTGCGAGGGATGTTTGAGAAGGTAGTGATGCGATCAAGGAGTTCCTTCAGCTGTGGCTCCATGTTGTGCGTGTTGGCAACTTGTTCCTTTATTTTGGCTATCCATGCCTCCTGTTTTTTTTCACCTTTCATTTCTTTGGCCACATACTGACTCCCACCATATTTCTGATCCTCAGTTACACACTTCACATGATCAGCATACTCCTGTCCCCTATGGATATACACCATGACATTTTAAACCAAATGATAACCAGAAAGATAATTATCAAATCATACAAAATAAAATATGTATATCATTGCAGATGTTCCCCAAGACAAGTTGATACCTGGTTGATGGGGTTCTGGGAGTTCTTCTACTCCCCAAGCCCGGCCCGAGGCCAGGCTCAAGTGTAACCCTTGTCTATGGGAAGTATCTTGCTCCCACAATATGTCATCTTTTGACATACAAAACTGTTCATTAACCCACAATATGTCATCTTTTGACATACAAAACTGTTCATTAAGCTGCTGAATATTATTTAGCATGTATCTAAATTGTTAGTTTTGTTTGCAGAACTATGGAGACAAAATTAAATGTATGGATGGACAAATGTCCATGTTCAAAATGTAAACTCTTAAGACAAAACTATTTATAATTACAGTATCAGTTATTTGAAATATCATTAAAATAAGATGATCAATACATTCACCAACTGCTCAAGGTTTTAGCCAATTTTTGTTATAACACTGACCACCATTATTAAACTGGAACTCCTAAAGGGTGTACTTTATCACTTGATAACTGAACAGTCAAGTAAATGTTCACATGTTTTCATTACCCTGTCCTCTTTGCAACAAAGTTTCATGCTGAAATCTTCAAAATCAACATTGTAACAATGAAGTTAATAAACAAACCAGTATAAAACTCATGCCTTGTGAGCATTATGAGCAAGATTGCACCCCCAATCCTTAACTGTTAGCCCATGTTCACCCAGCAGTAATTGGATACTGTTTGTAAACTGATTAGTGGATCATCTTTCAAGGAAAAGTAGTGGAGTAAGGCTTAAGATGAAATATAGATAGTGAAAACTTTCAAGCCTGCTAGGGAGCCGGTGGCCGAGCGGACAGAACACTGGACGAGTAATCCTGTGGTCCCGGGTCGATCCCGGGCGCTGGCGAGAAACGACAGGCAGTTTCTTTCACCCTGATGCCCCTGTTACCTAGCAGTAAATAGGTACCTGGGAGTTAGTCAGCTGTCACAGGCTGCTTCTGGGGGTGGAAGCCTGGTCGAGAACCCGGTTGCGGGGATACTAAGCCCCGAAATCATCTCAAGATAACCTCAAGAAGCCTGCTAACAAGCCAAAAGTCATCTGCTTCAGTACCTGGTGGAGGACTGGGCCGAGGGACATTGAGCCCCAAAATCATCGCAAGGTAACCGTAAGGTAACCTGTGTAGAATTTTTTTTTTCAACAAAATTCTGTTTGACATAATATTTGGGTACCCTTAGCACTACTAACCGGAAGTCCTTGCTGCAGTCCATACACGAGACATGTTTATTATGCCGACACTTGGTGAGCCAGTGCTTCTCCACTTGGTTTTTCTTCAGGCTCGACCCACAAGATGAACACACGAAGAAAACCATCGTCTCCCAATTTCACTCTGAAATATTTTCTTTATAGTTATATTTGTATTATATGTATGTACTGGCATGTATGTACAGTACTGTATGTACATACTGGTATGTGCGTATGTATGTACAGTATGTATTGGTATGTATGTACAGTATGTACATACTGGTATGTGTGTATGTGCAGTATGTATTGGTATGTATGTACTGTACTGGTATGTATGTACATACTGGTATGTGTGTATGTAAGTACAGTATGTATTGGTATGTATGTATGTACAGTATGTATATACTGTATGTACAGTATGTCTTTAATAAATCCATGACAATTTTTTAAACATACAGGTATTATGAAAATAATACTTTAACAAAATAGATGATTAAGTGAATGAGTAAGCACAGGAATAGATATTATTGTACTGACAGAAATAATAATATATAATTATACATAAAATACATATACATATTATACATAATATATAATTATATATTGGAAAAGTTGTACAAGAGGAACCCTCCGTCAGGGTGTCAAATTTCTTTAGTCGATTTTTATGGATTACGGAGTTTCGCCGGATCCTGTCTATCTTGGAAATGACATCTGGTATTTTTGTCAAATTTTGTGGTATTGTACGACAATATGTAAACTATATCCCCCCCATTCCCCCAGTCACTGACTGATAACTGACAAATTGCTCCTTGTCAACTCTCCTGTTCTTTTCTTTCAGGTGCAACTCATTCGTTTTCTTTACTCGTTCATCTATCTCTTTCACTATCCCCCTTTTTTATCGAGTCACTTATTGTTTCTACTATGCATGCATGCATGTTATGTGAACAACCCCCTCATGGGGCTATGCACGGGGTGTCCTCCCTCAGGAATTTATTCAGTAAGCTCAGTAAATTTATTAGGCAGTGTGTTCCTGTCACACTGTTTAATGTGTGTTTAAGAACTGTAAGGTGACAGGATGGTAGCAACATTTAGTATTAAGGATCTCTTTTTCCATTCCTAATCCTTCCTTCTCTCCTCTTCCACCTAATGCTAAAAACTCAAACCCAAACCCACCCAGCCTGAGGAAGCCTCCACACCCCAGTACTCTTAACACAAACCAGTTATCAAGAACTGGCGACCCCTAGGACTCATTCAGCCCCGCTCCTGTGCCAGGTAAGTCCACTACGGGCTCACCATAGCCCGTGCTACTTGCCCCGCTCCTGTGCCAGGTAAGTCCACTACGGGCTCACCATAGCCCGTGCTACTTGCCCCGCTCCTGTGCCAGGTAAGTCCACTACGGGCTCACCATAGCCCGTGCTACTTGCCCCGCTCCTGTGCCAGGTAAGTCCACTACGGGCTCACCATAGCCCGTGCTACTTGCCCCGCTCCTGTGCCAGTAAGTCCACTACGGGCTCACCATAGCCCGTGCTACTTGCCCCGCTCCTGTGCCAGGTAAGTCCACTACGGGCTCACCATAGCCCGTGCTACTTGCCCCGCTCCTGTGCCAGGTAAGTCCACTACGGGCTCACCATAGCCCGTGCTACTTGCCCCGCTCCTGTGCCAGGTAAGTCCACTACGGGCTCACCATAGCCCGTGCTACTTGCCCCGCTCCTGTGCCAGTAAGTCCACTACGGGCTCACCATAGCCCGTGCTACTTGCCCTGCTCCTGTGCCAGGTAAGTCCACTACGGGCTCACCATAGCCCGTGCTACTTGCCCCGCTCCTGTGCCAGTAAGTCCACTACGGGCTCACCATAGCCCGTGCTACTTGCCCTACTCCTGTGCCAGGTAAGTCCACTACGGGCTCACCATAGCCCGTGCTACTTGGAACTTGTTCCAAGTAGCTGAATCTATAACAACAACAACCCCAGGACAGGTCACACTGACATACTTCCTCGGTCTATATGGTGAGAGTCGCACGTGGAGGGTCTTGGAGGAGCTGTGGAAGGTCTTAGAGGAGCTGTGGAGGGTCTTAGAGGAGCTGTGGAAGGTCTTAGAGGAGCCGTGGAAGGTCTTGGAGGAGCTGTGGAGGGTCTTAGAGGAGCTGTGGAAGGTCTTGGAAGAGCCGTGGAGGGTCTTAGAGGAGCGGCACGTGGAGGGTCTTGGAGGAGCCGTGGAGGGTCTCTCACAGGGACTCACTGTTGCCAGATCCAAATTGCTGAAAGTAGCGGAGCTGACGCTCTAAAAGTAGCGAATTTGTAATAAGAGTAGCCCAATTTTTTTTAATGAATGATATTTATTTATTTATTCATTTATATACAAGAAGGTACGTTGGGTTAGATTGAATAGATTGAATAGTATTTACAATCTTGTAAAGCCACTAGTACGCGCAGCGTTTCGGGCAGAATATGGTACCCGAATACCCATAGAATATAATACCAGAATACCCATATTTGATATGGGTTTCAAAGCAATATATTTTGATATACATAGTACACTGCATGATGTTAATTGTTTTATTAATATTATTTCTGCACACACATTATATATATAAGAACACTATTTTTCCCCAAAACGGTGGGTTTTCTGAGTGGAAGAGAACGTATGTCTGGAAGCTGACTTTAACCGCCCCAAGCTGCGCGCGCATTGACCCGAGGTTATATAAACCGGGACGGAGACGGCGTGGCCCAAATTTATGTTTCTATCTTTCTTGAGACGTATAAAAGTCTTACGTTTATTAACGATTCTGCGTGAAATAAGCATTGTTCTGAGATGAATATTGCGGATTTCCGGCTCTACGACCGATGAAAAATGCAACTTTTATACAACTACAAATATCTTTAGTTTTACTTTAAATTTTGTCCTGAAAGAGTTTTCATATATAGATCCAGTTTCTGCCGTTCTTCTGACATAAAAAGACCTTTGGTTAAATAAGTTATTAAGATGTTTTCAACAATATTACTAGGACGTTCACCGATTCTAACATGGGCGACCCTTTTGGAAACGCAACACATGGGTTGACCTGATTGATATATGGGTCAATAGTTTATTTATTTATTTATTTTATTTATTTATATATATACAAGAAGGTACATTGGGTTTGTGAGAATACATTGGATAGTACAGTATTTACATTCTTGTAAAGCCACTAGTACAGGGTGGCAGTGTGGATGGCGCTGACAGGCCGCCGACGGTAACTTACTTATTTATTTATTTATTTATGCATATACAAGAATGTACATAAGGAATGTGAGGATACACATATGGTAATTACAGTCTTGTAAAGCCACTAGCACGCGCAGCGCTTCGGGCAGAAACTACACTCTTTTCTCCCTCGCTCTGTACGTCTGTCTCCTGTCTACCTACACCAGAATTCGTCAACATGGCAGCTTTTGAAGGTAATTTGGGGCTCGGTGCCAAGGGGCAGTTTTAAAGAAAGGGGTGGGGGGGGATTTCTAGATTTTTGACGGGCATTGGACCGGCTTGATGGAATAACATTACTAGGGGCGTGTGGTTGTATGTGTGGTGTAGCGTGTGGTTGTATGTGTGATGTAGCGTGTGGTTGTATGTGTGGTGTAGCGTGTGGTTGTATGTGTGGTGTAGCGTGTGGTTGTATGTGTGGTGTAGCGTGTGGTTGTATGTGTGGTGTAGCGTGTGGTTGTATGTGTGGTGTAGCGTGTGGTTGTATGTGTGGTATGGCTGGTGTGTGGTTGTATGTGTGGTATGGCTGGTGTGTGGTTGTATGTGTGGTATGGCTGGTGTGTGGTTGTATGTGTGGTATGGCTGGTGTGTGGTTGTATGTGTGGTATGGCTGGTGTGTGGTTGTATGTGTGGTATGGCTGGTGTGTGGTTGTATGTGTGGTATGGCTGGTGTGTGGTTGTATGTGTGGTATGGCTGGTGTGTGGTTGTATGTGTGGTATGGCTGGTGTGTGGTTGTATGTGTGGTATGGCTGGTGTGTGGTATGGCTGGTGTGTGGTTGTATGTGTGGTATGGCTGGTGTGTGGTATGGCTGGTGTGTGGTTGTATGTGTGGTATGGCTGGTGTGTGGTTGTATGTGTGGTATGGCTGGTGTGTGGTTGTATGTGTGGTATGGCTGGTGTGTGGTATGGCTGGTGTGTGGTTGTATGTGTGGTATGGCTGGTGTGTGGTTGTATGTGTGGTATGGCTGGTGTGTGGTTGTATGTGTGGTATGGCTGGATTTTAAATTGCAATACTGTACTAGCAATATTTTGGAATTTAGGGCTTTGGCAGGTCGGCGGTGCCATGGGCTTATAACCCTATGGGTGAAAAGTGAATTCTGTTTTCTGACTTACATTGGGGCTTGTTGAGCTTGAATGCAGTATGTATATGTGAAATTATCATGGAGAGACACCAGTCTCCGTGGTGTAGTGGTAAGACTACACCTGTAGTGGCCTGGCGTTCCGCGAGCGCTTTGTCATGGGTTCGTATCCTGGCCGGGGAGGATTTACTGGGCGCAAATCCTTAACTGTAGCCTCTGTTTAACGCAACAGTAAAATGTGTACTTGGTTGTAAAAACGATTCTTTGTGGGGATCGTATTCCAGGGACCTGTCCGAAACACTACGCGTACTAGTGGCTCTACAAGAATGTAACAACTCTTGTATATTTCTCAAAAAAAAAAAAAATATGGAAAAGCTGATGGAGCAAAGGATCCCAGAGTATGTACCGAGGTGGGTTTGGGCGTGCTGAATGAATGGATAATAGTAGCAAGTAAAAAAATAAATACAGTAGTAGATAATAGATAAGCAAGTGTGTGTTGGTGTGAATTTGAGGTCTGGAGATGTTGGGATATCTTGAGGTCATCTTGAGATGATTTCGGGGCTTATCATCCCCGCGGCTTGGTCCTCGACCAGGCCTCCTTTTTGTTACACACCCCCAGGAAGCAGCCCGTAGCAGCTGTCTAACTCCCAGGTACCTATTTACTGCTAGGTAACAGAGGCATCAGGGTGAAAGAAACATTTTTCCCATTTGTGTCCATCTCCACCGGGGATAGAACCCGGAGCCTGAGGACTACGAATCGGAAGCGCTGTCCACCCAGCTGTCAGGCGCCCTGACAGGCTAGGAGAATAGCACCAAGATGATAGTGGGGCAAACTTAGTGAGGAAGCAGGAAATGAGTGTGAACAGCAAATGGGTTATGGAAATAGTGGCTGGGTGGAAGCAGTTTGTAAGGATGGAGTGCATGTACAGTATTTGATTATGGTGGACAATTCATGAGATAGCACTGTATACAGGTCTTAAAAAGCAGTTGGATACTGCTTAGAGTGAGAGATGAGTGCATGTCTTTTTTTATATTTACATAGTTTGAATGATGCAATGAATGGAATATTGTAGTGGTTTTATTTTTTTTATACCTATAACCTGCTAGAACAATACAATAGTTTTGCATTTTTCTTCTGGGCTAATGCTGCTCCCTCCTCATAAGTCTAAAACAAGATAATTAAAAGTTTTGTTACTAACCAATTACTTTGGCTTATGAAATTTATATAATATTCATTTTTCAGAAATGGGTGTACTCCCAGAAATAGCTAAGGCTGTAGAAGAGATGGATTGGACGTAAGTTTGCTGATTCTCTTGTACATTATGTAACGCTGTACTCAATAAAGTGTTTCAAATACTGTACTGGAGTAAATATAGTTGGTAAATAATAATTGAAATGGACTAGTAGTTTTATTTGCTCTTCATTGGGTATAGTATGATATGATTATGCACTGTATATTCCCTGTAAATACTATAGAGAGATTTAAAGTAAATTGTATTGCATGGAAAACTAGTATGGTTGCAATATTAACTTTTTTTTAATGTTTTCATTTGTGAATACTTGCCCTAAACATACTTGTATTATACATACTTGTCTAAGAAATGAGCCCATGTACTGTGCAGCTGTTTAATATGATAACTTCATGGTGCACAACAAAAATTATACCCAATTTTTTTTTAATGTTAAAATTGCCTCCCTGATCATGTAAATGGAAAAACAATTACAAAATCTAATTTGTCACAATGTCATCACAAGATGTTGAGCACATGTGCAGGAGTGACTCGAAGCTGATCTCTTGGGTGATTCAAGACCCGCGAGTTGCCACAGATACTTTTCTTGTGATTTTTATCGAATAATACTATTATTTATGTTTTCGTGTACACAGTAGAACATGTGTAATGTTTTAATAATGATGATAAGTGTCACTAATGTGTCCACAAAAAAGTGGTCAATATTACATGTTAAATTTTCACTAATATTTACTGTCTCACATACTCTGAAATAATGTGAGACAATGTACAATGTACTTACACCATAATACTCTCTCAGTACTTCATGAGTAAATTCATTGAAGCACTCAATACAGTAGTACACATGGTAACTTTTGCATTCTGTGCACCAGGTACATGCTGACTTTCACTAATCGTCTTTTTGCATGCTTGTAAACATGGTACTTGGGTATAAATTTTGCAAGTCTTCCTGTACCCGCTATGTAACCAAACTTGTGTAGTGTACAGTAGTCTATGCAGCTCAATCTGTCGGTAGCAATGTGTACATCTTCTGGCACAAAACTTGGAGAAGTTTAATACTGGAGTTCCCACTTGTGCAACTTTCAATGATCAGTGGGCTCTGACTCTGTTCAGTCTGCTGCAAAATAATGTTGATTTTGTAGTTGTGATGTGCATTATGCCTCGCATGCAAGTCTTGCATTTTTCAATATTAAAAAGTATTTGACAGTCTTCCAACCACTTTTGGATTTCATTTAGTCTTTTTCTCTTCTCCATTTAATTCAATTATAATTTTTACTTCCCACTTCACCATAGATCTTGGTCATGTGCAAATTTGATAATGTGGTTTGTAATACAGGTACTGTATTCTCATTTGTCATAGATGTATTTGACAAAAAGGGTTGGCCCCAATATGGAACCCTGCAGTACAGTGTACTCAAGATTTCTCCAGTTGAAATCATTTCTATTAAGGATGACCCTTAACTGTGTTTTAACCAATGTTTTATTCGTCCTAGTACAGTATTCTACTATTTATTGCATGTGCTTGTAATTTCCTCGCCAGTCTGTCATGTGGTACTTTATTCTGCTCATTACTTTGCTAATTTCTGAGCAGGAGGTTTCTGGTAGATCAACCGCATCTTCACTGAACTGAATGATTTTTGGTCTGATTCGCTTTTCGTCATAATTCAAGCCGGATTATAAGTT